TTTTTTTTTTTTTTTTTTTTTTTTTTTTTTTTTTTTTTTTTTTTTTTTTTTTTTTTTTTTTTTTTTTTTTTTTTTTTTTTTTTTTTTTTTTTTCGCTTCCAGATCTGCTGGCCTTTCTTTTCTGCAGATAGTAGTCTACAACAATGGTTCAATATTTGGGGCGGTGAAGTTGCTAAAGTAGTGTATGAGTTGATGTACTTTTTTTTTTCTCTCGATCGATCGGGGTCTGAAAACTATTTACTAACTACTGTGCATCTCTCGCTCAAGTTCCGCGTTCAGGATCTAACTCAATATAATCCTTCGTTGAGTACGGAGTACTTTACCAGAAGTGAGCTAATTTGCCGTGAACTAGTTGTGTTGGCCAATTGGCTTTACTCTGGAGCCTAAATGTTAACATGGATGGGGTTTATCTACTAAGTACTACGGAGAATTGTGTTACTTGTTCTATATATCCCTGTTGACGTTTCAGTCGCTAAAGAGTAGATGGTCTATATGTGTATGTTCACATGCAGAAATGAATCATGATGGCGAAACTGATGATGATCTACCTAGTCCATTTCCATATTCTGTTTAGCTAACTGAGGGGGTTGGTAGTAACTAGTATAAGTGAGAAGAGGAGAGAGGAGGGGAAGAGAGGCAGAGCAATGATGGATTTGCTTCGGGGCGGGCCGCCTCTAGTTGATTAGCGGGTGGTTATTGGATGGACCATTAAATGCTCCCTGTTTGGTGTGTGACTCTAGATATAGACTACTCAGTAGTGGGAAATATTTGGTTCATCTAGGGGATTTTAGTTAGTGTAGCTGATCTTTGGTTTGGATGGGGCTGGAAGTAGCCTACTGTAGTTGCTACCTGAGGATGTTAGTTTCTTAGTGGGTGGGCTCTACTATATCTTCAAGTTGTTTTGAGTTGGAGAGAATGTACTGTAAGCTAGCTAGCTTGTTATTCGGTATGTTGTTGTTCCCTTTTGGGGAAAATCATATATCATTTTCGCGGTAGAACTGCTGTCAAGATTATAGTCATGAGAGAGGAAACTCACTCGGCTAGAGTGAGTCGTGTCGAGGTAAGTACTACTACAGCAAGTACCCTGCTGCTCTCCATCCGATGAATGCAACGTCGGCATGCTAATAATATATATGTAGATGGGGATACCTGCAGTTCATATTGGGATCAGCACTGCGATCGCATTCTTCAACCCTGTCCGATGAAGGCGTTGCTGGCCTGCCGGTGGCTAAAGTGAGGAAGTCGGTGCACTGACGACGAGTGGAGCAAACTAAGGAGGAGTAGAGAAGGGAAGGAAGAGACGGACAGCCAGACAGCCAGCCAGAAAGACAAGAGAAAAGAAGAGAGGGGAAACGTGGGGCCGTGTTGCGATACGTCCCGATCATCTGCAGAGTGACAGTTGGAACCTGCGGCCTTGTCCAGCCTGAACCAGTTTTTTTCTGTTGTGTTCAGCTAAGAATTGTCTTACTAGACTACTCCTCAGAGTACTACACAGTAGACTAAATCATTACTCCGTGGTCTAATCCTCCCCCCTCCCCCTCCGTCCCTCCCGCGCGCCAGCTAGGGGCAAACACTAGTCCTCATCATCCTAGTCGAGTGTGTACCTCTTCTCACTATCGACCTTCCTGAATAAGGCAAGGTGGGAATAAAAAACCCCTCTTACTCACATCTCTGCTTCCTCTCCCTCTCTCTCTCTAACTAGTTACCTCCTCTTCTGCATGCCAGAAATTTTTACATGGCCGGTTTGACGAGGGGGTGAGTGGGTGGGTGCGCACATCAAACACGGCTTGTGCTTGTCTTTGCAGTGCTTCTTCTCTTCTGCTGTTGCCATGCCATGTTTGATCGATCTCCCCATTCAGTTTGCGCCGTTCTCTCAACCAATTTTCAAGTGGATAAGAAAGTCATTCCATCTCGGTAGGCGCACAAATAGCAATAGACATGATGGAGCCTTTGATCCCGTCCTACTGGTAATTTCCACAACGTCCGGCTCAAACCAACTACTCACACCTTTCCCGCTCTGGTAGGGAAAGGGGAGGGGACCCTCCTTTAACCGTGCCCCAGACCCGTTCGGATTCACGGTACTGGGTAATGCACGGATCGAAACCAAAGTTCCGACGCAAACCAAACCAAACCACTGGATGTCAAAATTAGACAGACACACCAAGTATCTATCTAACGGGAACTATCAACCGAGCGATTTACTCACCGGTCGAAGTCTGAAGGAATCAAGAATTGGATGGTTTGATGGATTGACTGATTGACCGATTAATAAGAATGAAGATCGGTCGGAGAGCTTGTTAGTCAGTCCACTACGCTCTCTGACAGCCAAAATACCACAGTCAAAGCACGTACCTTAAGTAAATTCCCTGGCCTATTTTTTCTTTTTGATTTTTGCCCTGCTAGTAACTTACTTGGCTCTGAGCCCCATTCCTCTGTGTACTCGGTGCGGCCGTATCCTCGATCCTGCTCGCACACAAAGTAGTCGGAGTCGGAGTCGGAGGGGTTACGGGCGACGACGTTAGTTTAGCAAAAGCGGCAGCTGTTGTGGTTAAGTCTATCTTCTGCTAGTCAGGAGCACTGGGTCCGTTGTAACTCCGTTGTAACTCTTAGAGCGAGGCTGTTGATTATTCTATTTCCAGTGCATCTCATTGAGGTGTTTTTTCTTTTTCTTCATTTCATCTTTCTTTTCAGAAAAATCCAAAAATGTACAACAATCAATTTTTGTTTTCTTGAATTTGATTTATTATATTTATTTTCGATGCCCATTTTTACTTTTTCTCTTTTAGCCTCATTCTCACTTTGAGGCGCCTCCTCCCTTCCACATATGCCACTCATCACACTGCCCTCCGCACATGATGCAGATTCCTGCTCTGGACTATCGTGCGAGCCCCTTCTGCAGGTTGTGTGACGGACCAGGCGGAGGCTTGTCCAGTAGGGAGGACTGGAAGGAACACTGGGGCGCGTCCTTTCCCGTGGCGGTCAGCCATCCAGCTGTGGACTGCAGCCTTGTCGCCTTAGAGACCCGAGTACGACCTTAGCCGGCCGTTGTGGTTGGGGAAAATTAGAGATAAAAATTTTTTTTATTTATTTATTTTTGTTTTATTTAGGGAAATGAACTGTTAGTGATCGCGGACGGGCCATTTATTAATAAAACCTGTGGACTATATTATAGGTATATTGTTAACCGTAGAGGGAAGGGGGGTTTTCTACAGTAGGGCCAAGGGTAGATTAAATCCTCGATCGATAGATTTTATCCGATCGGAGAAGAGGGGAAAGGGAGGAGTCAGTCAGAAAGACAGCCGCATCATCTGATGAGAAAAGCTTCGAGTTGGGCCATGGAAGTTAGTAGAGAAACGAGGAAAATGCTGGCCAACGCACCCACGGCTCCTTCCCTCCCACCCACACCCCCTTCCCTTCACTCGGAGCAGCAGCCAAGTTCTACGACGGTTCGGTGCAGATGAACAATTCAGCCTCTTAAACTGTGCCCGCGCGTGGTGACCAATCATCGCTGGCCATGCAGAGAGCCTCAGAAGTGGAGCCCTTTTGGGCCTAGTAGTCTGGTCGGGTCGGCCTCGTGGACGTGGCATTATTCTTCCTGCTCCAAGCAGTGGTCGGCGAGGGGGTGGGAAAAGGAACGGAAAAAAAAGGTGAGCATGCTGAAGGAAACACACACTCACTCACTCACTCACTCCACTCCACTCACTACTACACAGACAGACAGACAGACAGATAGACTAGATCAGACAGCTAGCTTGCTGCGAGAGACACTCTGAACCCGCCTTTCTTGCTCCCTCCCTCATCTCACACATACACAAGACATTCCCCTCTCCGTCCCCTTACCTCTTCTCACCCTCTTTGGCGCTCTTACTTTACTTATCCCGCCCCGGCAAGAAAAGCGTGAATGGTCGTTGATTGAGTGTCTTAACTAGGATTATTGTCGGTAGGTAGAAATTTTGCTTGTTTCCTCTCTCCACCCGGGTTGATGGTGTTGTCCCTCCCTCCATGCTCACCCCACTTTGTTTGCCTGTCTGCACGCAGTGGCGCGCGCGTCTGGAGAGTCAGCTTCATTCATTCCCTCCGTCTCCTTCCGCCTTGTCCTGCGGATTCTTCTTCATAAATCTCTTGTTCCAGTTTCTACTATTTTGTTGCTGTGGGCACCCAATGCCGTTTTAAAAGTAATCTAAAACCAAATTTCCTTTGGAGCCTCACTAGTGTCTTCAAGGGACAACAGAACCAAGGACTGACTAACGTTTTACTTGGAAAGCACGCCAACAGAGCCTCCGCATCTGACCAGCCAAGGGAAAAGAAAAGAGAACAAACACCAAAAAAAAGAGAAGACGAAAAGGAAGAGGAAGTAATAAAAACAAGAATCGGGACCCGACGAGAGCTGCCGAATAGGCAGAACAGAACAGAGCCAGAGACAATAAATCAGTCAGCTCAGCTCCCCCCAGCTAGCCCAAGCCCAGCCAGCCAGACGAAACAGCCAACCAGAACCACTGCAACTATTATATTTTGTACCTCTTTGCTACTTGACTACGGCCACTACTACTTACTCCCCTCTCCTGCCGACCTTGCCAGTTCTTCCCTACAGTTCTGGTTCTCCTAACGGAAGTGCTGCTGCTGCTGCTTGCTGTCTACCTACCTCAACCGTCAACCAGAAACCAAACCTGCTGCTTTCTCCACCCGCGTTTTTCCAGCCCGGCCGGTGGATCACCTTCAGTTCTGAGTGGATTGATTCTCAGCGTTCTCCTCAATTCTACTACCACCACGACGGCCACGCCAAACTAAACTAACTAAACTATCCGTGTGTCTCCATCTGCCTTTTCCCACCTCGTTTTTCCTTTATTACTACTGTGATCCTTCCCCTCGGTTCGGCCGTTCCAGCGCAACTACCTGCTGACCGCTCCGCGGCCATACCCTTAACCTTTTTTCTTTTCCCTTTTACCACCTGCCAAGCGTGTCATTAACCCGCTTGCTGGGACCATTAGCTTCATCGGCCACTATTCGTTCCAGCGTCCCTTGATTACCGGACACGGTCATCATTATTGCTCGGGCCTAAGATTATCGCTCTTTTCTGCCATTATTATTATTATTATTACTACACCACTCTTATTATTCTTTACTCGCGACCACTACCGTTCTGCTGCTGGCGCCGTTAGACGATGAATTTTTCCAATCTCTGATCCTTGCACCTCCACCTCTTCTTTGATTCTTCTTTTCGACCCGAGCCGTGACATCGTGACCTCCCTTATCGTCATCACCACCACTGAGCGTTCAACCTTATCCTAAACTGTTTTCTTTCCCCTCCCTTCCACCCAACCCCCCATCCTCTCCTCCCCCAGTTTTATCCACGCGGCTCGGAACTCCCGCGCGCATGATTTATTGATCTATGCGCCCGGTGGTGCCGTGGTTGACTGAGTCCTGACGTGCAATCGCTTTCAATTGAGCCTCATTGCGCGGTTCCTGCGGCTTTCTCGGTTCCTGACAGCAGGTGAGCCTATTTTGCATCTCCTTCCCCCATCGTTCCAATTGTGCAGCATCAGTAATAAGAAACCCCCCCCCCTCCGTATCGTTCAACTGGCGGTTCGCTTGCTATCAATTGTCACCTTGCTTCTTCCCTTTCCTTGGCTATCCGTGGCCAAACTTGCATCCTGGATATTGTCGCAATTGGGCCAGCTCTTGGTGCCGTTGGAGATTTTACAGAACTAGGCTGCTACTCGCCGCCTCCGGGATTTTTGCACGCTCTTCTGAGTTTCTTCCCATGTCCTGCAGGCTCGTCTGGCGTCCCATCCCCCCTTCTCTGACCTACTTTCTTTCTCCCCGGGAGAGCGTTGCACAAGCTGGCCCATCTGTACTCTATTCATATCCAACGTTGTCCTTCTCTATGTCGTGCCACCACTTTCTCTAGTCTGTGTGCATGCTAACATGGTGCCAGCACATCTGGGATCGACAAGTGGATCGTGTCCTATCTTGCTTGGCAAACCGTTGGAACGGCAGTCTATTTTCCGGGCTGGAGACAGTGTTGTGAAACACTTCTTCGGGGCACTCGAACGGGACAGGCAGGCCAAATCGAACAGTAAGGGGCGGCGCACCTGATGCGCCTAAAACCGCCGCCTTCATGACAGAATCATACGGTCTCGATGAACCTCGCACCCCTGGGTTGCGGCCCACAGAGATTGATTACTTACCAAAGGTGTCACCGCCTCCATTCGATACCGGGGATCAATCACCCAAGGGCGGTCTACCCAAGCACGATGCAGAGGCACAGTTTCCGAGCAGTTCGCGTAAGCTGCCGGAATTCCAAAAGCCCGATTCAACTGAGGGCAACTCGGTGCTGATCAGACATCTAGAGCCTAACCGACCTGACATAGCCTGGTTCGAAACTGAACATCCGCTTCACCGCAGCACTATAGCGGACGACTTTCCGGTTCTTCCTAAGATCATATTCGGCCCAGAGAAATCCTCCGTGGAGACCAAGGAGCCTGTAGACGTGGTCGCGAGAAAAGCTCTCAATTTGATCAGTCCGAGCGAGCCCAAGGAAGGAGGCCCATCCGTAGCCCCGAAGGATCTTCCAGTCGCTTACAAGGAACCACCACGCCGACCGTCTATCCCAGTGGAAGAACCTGCGCTCAAAGAAGAACAGCAGCAGCAGCACACGCCGCCTAATATCCCCCATTTCTCTCATCTGTTTCAAGATGGGAAATTACCTGATCCTGAAACACGCCTGAGCAAGTTGCTGATAGCACCATCGGAGCCAGCAGCTCAGCTCCCCGCCCTCCACCCATCAACAACGGCGAGCTCCGTGAACCATAATCTGCCCTCTCTTTCAACGGCATTGGCTGGTGTTACCGATGTACCACCACCTGCTAGTGCCGGACGCTTGAATGGCTCGTCTTTCGGCCCTTTGCCTCCAGTCTCAGCTTCTTCCCCCCCGGTGTCAAGGACAGATCCTGTCTGGGAGCACCAACGCTTAGGCCAAATTCCGCCTCCTCCGCCACAAGTCCCGCCCAGCCCCTACTCGCACTTGTCACCGGCAAGCTCGAAGGATATGTCGGCTATGTCGTCGCCCGCATCCCAGCAGGCTTACTGGCGGCCGCCTATCAAGGCGGACATAACGTATCTCACTTCAACGTATGAGACTGCACCGCAGACAGCCAAGAGCCCCGCAACAAGCTATCCCACCCCGACAGATCAGACTCCAGCATCCACCTGTGATCGGTCATACAATCCCCCCACGCATCCGAACGGAGCGGTCTCCACAGGCACGTACAAGTGCCGTCACCCGGGCTGCACTGCAGCCCCGTTCCAAACACAATACCTGTTGAAGTAAGTAGTCTCACGTGCACCGGCCCCGTAACCCAAGCTTATCGCATGTACAGCTCCCATGCAAATGTTCATTCTCAGGATCGTCCGCATTTCTGTCCCATAGCTGGCTGTCCGCGTGGACCCGGCGGGAAAGGATTCAAACGGAAGAATGAGATGATCCGACACGGCCTCGTCCATAATTCGCCTGGATATGTATGCCCATTCTGTCCAGACCAGCAGCACAAATACCCTCGACCGGACAATCTGCAACGGTAAGACTTTACTCGAATGCATAGATTATTATACAAGCCAGCTCACAAGTCACCCCATCCAGACACGTCAGAGTCCACCACGTCGACAAGAGCCGAGATGATCCGGCTCTTAGGCAGGTTCTATCGCAAAGGCCAGAGGGTAGTACGCGTGGACGCCGCCGTCGAAATAATGTTCCGTGAACCTACTACCCACATAGGCCTCATCATCATTTTCATCATCGGCTCAGCGATATGCTCTAAAAGTGCAGGTTACCATTATACGATATTGCATTAGCGACAGCGTCCGTTCGCGTTGATTTATCCTGAGATGATGGATTGACTTTCTCAAACAACCGTCCATGCGGCGGTGTGAGGATAACGCAGTCAATTCTTTTATCTGTTATTATCGACTATCATGGCATTCATGTATACTGACTGCACATGCATTACGAACCTTCCCACTAACTAAGCAATCCACCCATAACCCCCTTCTTTTCCACATCTATTCGACTACCCCCTTTTCAGTGATACCAGATGTTGTTAGAGCCTTGATCTACTTTTTATTTACTTCGTTCATCTTCCTGCATTGCTCGCATCATGTCATTCGCTTCTTGTGTTCGAATAGTTTGATTCCCCCGTTCGTCTTGCTAAGTAATCTGGCGAAGTGTGCACGGGTTTGTACAAGACTTTGCTAGTGGGCGTTTTGCCGTGTTTCTTACTTGTTTCCCTCATCTTCTCTTTACACCGTTTCACCCCTTTTTCAATTCTTCATCTTCATCTTCGCTTCTGATTTCCAACTACCCAATTTGCGACCTTATCTTTCTTTCCCCTTCGCTTCTTCCTCAGACTATACATATAGGAGGTTCTGGCGTCCTCATCTTCCTTTTTTCCCCCCCAAATTTATCATATCTGTGGATGGTAACGAGAGGCGTTTTATCGATGGTATCTTCAATTTCTTTTTATTTACGATGTCTTGATTTGATTTGAATTTACCCCATTTGACTAGCTACCTGAACTGGCTAGCTGGCTACATATGAATTGAGATCAGACGATTGGGAAGAAAATATTTTTCAGCAACTAAGAAGGAACAACGAGATTCAGTATATCGACCGATTTGGAGTGTGAGTGTTGTAGTGCTGTTTAGTTCACACCACGTCAGAAAGCATAAATTTGACGAGGCTGAAAAAGAAAAACCAAGAAAAGTGGGAACGTCTCAAAAGAAGACACGTATAAGTACAGTAAAAAGTAGATGATGAGTCAATTTAGTTGGTAAGGTAGTAAGTAGTTCTCAGAATTGCCTGTCACTGTCCCGCAGTGCTGGTGGCCAATTTTGCCGTCGCTTGAATTTCCAGAAGAAACCAGGTAAAAACCAAACCAAATCAAATCCAAATGATTCCTTTCCTCAAAAACCAGTAAATCGCGCCGTTAGTCCCATTTATCTCCATACAGTCCCGAAACTGTGTATATCCCGTTTGGTTTTGATCAATAGAAAAAATGTTAATGTGAAAGTATTTTCATGAAGGGGAGGGGCAGCAGTAGGAAGGAAAGAAAGAGGGAGGGAGAGAGGATGGGAAAATTATAAGGGTGAGGAAAAGAGAAATCATCAAGTCTCCCTCCTCTTATGAATCCTCCTCACATGATCCTTCATGTTGTCTACCCTACTAAATACCCGCTGACACCCGTCCCACTCACAAGGTATTTCTGGGTTGTGTTTTGCCTCATGTCGATCTCGGTCTTTCTTGCTGGAGAACCCGCCCCGCACAGCCTGTGGACACCCTTCGTACCGGCAAAAGAGATGTTTGCGGTGACGATTATAGTGTTTCCGGAGATCACAGCCCCGACGGAAGACGGCGTGTGATGAGCAGCCGGGATATGCGCAGCGCCAGGTTCCGTCGGGATTTTTGATGCCGTAGTTGGTTAGATCTCGCGTCTGGCTGCGGGCGGAGGAGGTGTCGGATAGGGATTGGAGTTGGAGATCGTCTAGATCGAGGTCGATATCAAGCTCGAAGTCAAGGTCTGCGGTGGTGGCGGAAGATAAAGATGCGGTGGTTACGGGGGTTAGCCGTGACTGAGAGAAGGAGGACGGAGCTGACTCTGGGAGGTAATAGTCTGTATTTGTAGGGTTGAGAGGTGACTGTGATACTGCTATCGCGAGCCATTCTTCTTGATCGATAGGGAAGTATGCACCGTCTGTGGTTGGTATGGCTGGGGGAAAGGATTCAATATCGGGTCTGAATGACTGTGGTGGTATGGTCTGATTTGAGAATAAGGGTGTATAGGACTCTTGATCCTGAAAGTAGTGGGTTCCAACGTCTGGTTTCCTTTGATGGAGGGGCTGTGCTTGGTCGAAGGCGTAGGGAACAGACCCAGACATGCTGCGGGCATCTGACAGGGGGGCCTGTTGAAAGGCTATAGCGGGAAAAAGATATGGCTGCACCTCTGACGACATCGTACTGTGGGTTGAGGAGCCGCCGGGCACCATCAGCATGGCTCTGTTGATTGTAGTCCTAGAGGTCATTGCGGATGGTTCGGAACTGGATAAAAGTGCCCTGGACACTCGGCTGCGCTTGTTCTGAGGCTAATCAGTATGGAGGGGGTTTATTCCGCCGGGCCCGGGTCTCACCAATGTATCTTTGTCCATGGATGTACCTTCGGCGGTACTTGTAGTTCATGTATCGGGGGGACTCGGGATGTCTCAGTGGGATGAAGCCTATTTCTTTGAATGGTTTGTCACAACTTGGTGGGCTTGGATGCATTCTGGATATTTAAAGCCAGTAGAAGCCGTGGTACTCCAACATTCTTATCTTCAGGAGTGTCTCGAATGTCAGATGTGGCTATGCACATCCCCCCAGGGCTGACGGTCAACGGGTAGCTGAGCGAATCCCTTCACAGATGATCAATAATCGGAATTAGGACGTCGATGTCACTGTACCATTGACTTTGGTACTGGCCTTCATCGCTGGTGGCTCCCACGTTTGCCCTGGAAATGCAGCTCGGGATTCCCGTGTCTAAACTCTCCAAAAGCCAAGGGGAACGTTTATTCGGCTGCGAGGTGATTGGTAACTCGAATAGGCATGCAGAACTAATGAATTGTCATGCACTGCGGCTGAAAATGTAGAACCAACCCTATTCGGATGACACATTTGCTTAGAGACGATCCATCCAATCTGAGGCACAGTGCCCAAGCAGATCAATAGTAATGCTCTGTTTTTTGGTATGTACGTTTTCTTTTCTCTTTGCCTTTCCGGTTTACCGTGCCAAAACAGGACTCTCGCGGCTTATGTAGAAGTAGCAAGTGTTCCATTGCCGCTTAAGTCCGACTCTTTGATAGGGCTGAGGTGAAGAGCGTCACAGGATACTTCAATAAGGCACCAGACAAGTGATGATGGGTAATACAGACAGTTCTGGACATGAGGATGACGTTTGAGCCCCAATCCAGTGGTTGCAGGACCTTTTGCTCGGCGCTGATAGGGCGCGTCCGTATGGGGAGTCGGCGGACCAGCGTACGGACGGACGAGGCTGCGCGATGATTGGCTGTGTCGTGTACTTGTTCCGGCCACTGCATCGTACATATGCATGCGGAACTCTCTGGTTTATGGGGAACTTGGATGGAAAGTCTAAATGCCGTCTGAGCCTCAGCGCCGAGCGACAACCTTCTAAACAAAGTTCCAGGTGATCCGATCCCAGGATGGCCCAACAGGGTAGGAGGCAAGGCAAAAAAGGCATCAAACTAAGAAAATAGTCGGCATACGAGTCATATCGCTGGGCAATGTCCCTCGCCATTGAAGGTTGGACGACGTCAACTATTCGCTATATTTGCTTGGACGGGTAGGTCAGGCCCCCACGCTTATTCCCAAAGGGGCGTGCATTTCGACGCTATAACCATGGCTGAGAATGCAGATCATTTTGGCTTACCGCCAGATGGACTTAAGCCTTTGTGCCCACGATCCCTGCCGTCGGGCCTTGGTTGCCAGTATTTCTAGGTGACGGGGCCCCGGGACTGGAGGATTGCACGCAGGAAGGCCCGGAAAGAGGGTCGCTGTCAGCATGGACCGGGTGCCAAAGAGCGGTGTCGCCAGGTCCAGTAGTCTTTGAGTCTTCTTGGACTGACCTCCATCGAGTTTGCAGATCTGGCCTAGGCCGGGTTAGATCGCGTGTCACTGCCATGTTACATCGCGGTGTGGATGTGTAGATACACTTTCGCGGAGAGAGCCAAAGACATTGTTCCAAAAATACATTGTCGCAATTGATAAGCCGTTCTATCATTCCTCCCCAACCAACACACATGACTATTTTGAGCTTCGCATGGTCATCCAGGCCGTAGACACTGTATACGAGCTACAGCCATTTTCCCAGACGGTTGCTCCGTTCGGCTGTGTTGGCGGAGAGGTCTATGAGGTCATACATGTCACAGAATCTCAGCCTCAGTCATCATCCGACCGAATATCGTAAAAGCGAAAATTTATGTCAACCAGCTCGATGCTCTTCACATGACACAAGACCCTCCGAACAAAAACAACGTGCTTATATTCAATCCATCCAAGAAACCGGGACCGCCGACGGGTCGGGGCCGCCGAAGCGTTCCAAATTTCTGACATTTAACCACCACGAGAGACGGAAGTCTAAACACTAACTGCGCCCGGGCTGTCCGTCGGACACGGACAACAAAGGAGTCCGATCACTCGGGTTCCGGTCCTTACCGCTATCGTCCTCTGCATCTCTGTAGAGGATATAGTGCTGTACCACAAAGATCAGATCGAAAAAGATCGTAACGTTCGACAAAAGAAACTTGATGGGATTTCCTGTGACTCCACTCCAGTCATCTTGGAAGCTAGAATCCAGCAGCAACTGGGCAAGGGATAAGACACCCCCAGACAAATCAAATAAGATCTGTCCGATACTCCAGCCGTATGTGGATTTACGCTTATAGTTAACCCACGCTTGAGGTACGTACTTCACGATGGTGATGACCAGTTTCACGTAAGAAAGGGCATATATCTAGATTGACCCAAGTGTTAGGGGTTAGAACACATGCGGGATAGCCATTTCCAAATCCTTGGACTACTTACAACATCGATCCACGCCCAGGAGTATGGGTCATAGCCGTTATTTGGGCTCTGACCGAGAACGATGAAGATCACGATCGTGACGCCGACTATAGAGCCCCAGAAAAGGCCTGCTACCGGCTTGCTAACTTTCTGATGGCGAGAGACCTTGAACCCCCAGATGAATGGCCAGAACTGTGTATAGGTGATGAAGCTAAGGACGACAGCATGTAGGGCGAAGGCAAAGTCGTTGAAGCGCACGGTCGGGTCCTCAGCAAGTGGGTGACGAGCAGCATACTGATGACGGATCACGGGAGAGTAAAGGAAAGCGGAAGTATATATGGTATAGCACACGAAGCCCAGCACGTTGATGGTAGGAAAGTCGATTGCCAGCCCCGTTGTCGACCGTCGCCGGAAGTTGTTGATCGGCTGGGGATAGAAGGACGCAGACCAACAGAACGTGCTGAAGAGAGGTAATCAGTATGTACAATCCCCTGAAGTCTCACGTCTGTCGTGATAGTATCTTCCCTGATAACTTCGGGCTATAAGACGTACTATATCCAGCCGAGTAGGCTGCATTGCCATGGTGTTAGTACATTGTACAAAAGAGATAAGGCGGGAGATTCAGAGGGAAAAAAAACATACCGAGAAAGCGCCCTCACGAAAATTTCTAGCTGAGTTGCCATACTTAGCTCCTTGTAGCTCTCCTGCTGTTTCTTTGTATAGGAGGGCGTAGGAAGGGCACTGCAGCAAGATGGAGAGGCTATCTATATGCCTCAAGGAGGGAGGATGGGGTGGATCGCTGGCGGAGAGAGCAGCTGATAAGATACGGAAAGCACGCGATTGCGGTCACCTGGCCTGACCGCTTTCCCAACTCTGCTGGCTAATTGCTGGAGTTGCGTTCCTTGCAAGTCTGGTGGATCAGTTCCTGGGTGGATTAATTGACCTAAACTTAGTATCGCTGCCTTGGTCGATGCGCGAGGACCGCAGGGTTAACTTAACAATGGATACTACAGAAAGACCAACGGGCCTCACTACTATTGATCAAATAACTGGGATCGGTGGACTGGAGATCTCCAGCAAAACATGGAGCAACACACTGACCCTGCTATTTGGATAGCAACCAGTTTTCGTGAGACTGTGTCATCAGCCAGTAGATGTGCCCAGCTTCCATCGGGATCAGCACGTCCATTAATCAAAGCATCGACCATCGCGAATAGAGTAACTACTTGATCTGCGAGGGATCGTTCAATCGTGTCGATGACAATCATACTCACATACGCAGGCGGTCGCCCGCGGCAGATGGCTGAGTCAGCTGGTGGTTGTCCGGGATATACGCTGACGGGCTAAACCGCAAATGGAAAACAGTTGTTGCGATGAAGCGGCTTGCTTGCCCCAGCCGCAGCGGCATTCCAGCCTGCATCTCGATCGTTCGGCGGTTATCCGCTTCCCTGTCCCACGATCCGTTCCTCTGCTTCAGTGCTATTCTTTCTTTTCATTCCATCTAAGTGGTCTTCAATTGTTGGCTATACAGGTTGGTGTCCTGCCACGGTTCTCTTATCCCTGTTACCCATACTACCTAGCCCTCCCCCACCCTCCATCTATACCTATCACTCACCGCTAGCTTCTTGATCCTCGAAAGATAAACAACCATTGCAACACTGGGCTCGGTCGCGTTTTAGCCTCTGCGATCAAATTCCCCGAGAACTCAAGTCGACGCCACTGCTATCGATTTCCTTCGACCTTTCCCATCAGCGCATGGTGCATTCTTCGGAGTGGGGGATCTCGCTAGATCTCCGTCGGTAGTTCGAACATTCCAGTGTCAATGAGATCGGGAGGAATCCACGTCGATCGGAAATTATAAGAGCTCAAGGTCTCCAGCAATCATGACGGCCGACTCTGGCCTCTCCGCTGCGGGGAGCAGTACCTACGCTTCAAATACACTGCATGTCGGCGATGGAACGTGGGACTCGGAGCGCGACACATTCCTCCTCCCTAATCTGATGGGTATCAACTTCGACACAATGCGATACAATGGTTAGTAAGGTTATAGCTCTATGAGGCGCAAACCCGCTTACATATGTTAGGAATGGGAAATCGATTCAAAGATATGCCCGAATACCATACCCTCATAGTCGTTCACGGCGTCATCGCTACAATCGTCTTCCTTTTTCTTGTCCCAATCTCTGTCTTGATCATCCGATACTACTCTCGATGGAATCCTTTCTGGGCCTTCAAGCTGCATGTCTGGTGCCAGGTCCTGACATTGTTGCTGAGCACCGTTGTGTTCGTGTTCGGTTGGTTCGCTGTCGGTCCAAAGAGAAGCCTGACAAACCCGCATCACGGTATCGGACTTGCGATATATGTCCTAGTGATCTTTCAGATTCTGTGGGGCTGGCTTGTCCATAAGATTGAGAGGAACAGGAGGAGTTACCATGTTCCCTTGAAGCTTGTGGTATGTTGCGTGGCCGTTCCATGTTCCGCCCAAAGGCTAACTTCTACATCACAGATTCATCGATGGATTGGACGCGCCCTCGCCATCCTAGGTCTTGTTCAGATACCGCTGGGGCTCACCCTTTATGGCTCGCCTAAAGTGCTTTTTATCCTCTACGCTGTTGTCGCCTTCATCCTCCTCGCAGTGTTCTTTGTGCTGTCATATCTATACGACACAGAAGGATATCACATGGAGAGCGGCGGATACGAAAGCCGACTCAGCTATGTCTCAGGACCCTCAGCTGCCGATGATCATGGTCATAGTAACCTCGGGCCCATGGCTGCCGCAGGAGCGACCGGAGCTGGCCTGGCTTCGCTCTTCAGACGTCGTTCCAGAGGCAGACCACACGATTACGACGAATCGCATACCAGTTTCTCAGACGAAAAGCTTTCTGATGAAGGACCACGGCGTGGTGGCAAAGGGAACTTACTTCTGAAATTAGGTGCAATCGGCGGTGGTGCCTGGCTCGCGAAGAAATTCTTTGACAGAAGACGCGAACGAGACAACGACACGGAGTCCGGTCGATACAGCAGAGCTCATACTCGGAGCGACAGCATGACCGAAGAAAGCTTGAGTAGACTGGAAGATGGGCGGCGACCCGAGCCAACAGCGCATACTCCTCTCAACCGTCCACCAAGCAGACCTCCAAGCAGACCTCCCAGCAGACCTCCCAGCAGACCACCAAGTCGACCTCTAAGCCGCCCTCAAAGCCCAGGCTCTTCGTACCTGTACAACAGCACCTATCTTTCCGAAGCTCCCCCTCGCAGGCCATCCCACGGACTTCGAGACGCTCTTCTCGGAGCGGGAGCATTTGCAGCGATCAAGGGCTTCTTCTCGCGTCGCAAGGGCGACGCAGAACAACGTCGCGTGGAAGAGATGCGCCGTCGGGAGATGGAAGACGAGCGGCTAGCCCGGGCCAACAGCAAGCGGCGCTACCCCGGAGAGGGCTATTACCCAAGACGTGACCGACCGGCATCATTCACAGCCACGGACCTTTCAACAGACCTGTCCCGGCCACCCCGCGGTCCGCCGCACGGCGAGTCCATAGTCTCAGCAGCGGGACCCCCAATGGCATCCGGAGCAGTGGACGGTGCACGCTCAGACATACCGCCTGCACCAGGGCCACCCGTTCCCCCACCAGCAGCATCGGAATATCCAGGACCAGCAGCATCTACACACGGTCCTACAGAGCTCGCCTCAGGAGTAGCAGCCGGAACAGCCCTAGGTGCTGCGTCATCGGCACATCGCCGTCGCAGCGCCAGCCGTCACCGAAGCAGCAGCCGGCCCAGGAGTAGCAGCCGTCACCGCGATCCCATCGCATCTCCCCCCGTTTCTGTCAAACTGAAAATGCACAACGACGGCCGCCACGTTACTCTCCGGAGACTGACGGATGAAGAAGCTGCCGCCAGTCGCGAAGCGAGACGAAGAGAGCGAAGGAATTCCCGTCGTCGCGCCGGCAGTGCAAGCTCGCTATCAGGAAACGAAGGGGGCTCGTATGACCGCTGGCGTCGTGTTGAGGAGCTGGAGCGCCAGCAACAGGAACAGATGCAACGAGAACAGGCTGCTGCGGCGGCGGCTTCCTCGGGCTTCCCAGCGACTTCTGCTGCTCCATCATCAAGTATGCCTCCCGCCACGTCCGCCTACTATGCACCACCTCCTCAGAACGGAAACGGGAGTCATATGCCGCCGCCCCCGCCGCCCCCGGTGCCATCTAGCCATCCTTATGGGACAGGGAGTATCGCGTCTCCGGGTACATTTACTGGGACGGAAGCGAGCGGTGACTATGCGAGCAATCGTCGACGAAGACGAGCGGAGAGAGCCCGAGCACGTCAAGAAAGACAACAGCACGGTGTGGAATTTACTTGATGAAACGGTATCTCCTGCTATAACTTATGACACTTCCCTTTTTCTTTTCCTCTCCCCCTGTATAGCAACCTTGATGATTTCATGCCCATTTTCTCTTTGGTGTTTAGTTCCTTTCCGAGAATTTGCTTTTTTCTTTTTGATTTTACCCCTTCATGTCAATCTTGAAATACGTTATGATGTACAAGTGCCAATGACTCGTCGTCTCAGTTGTTGGTTCTTCTGGAAACTATGATTCGTGCATGTTGAAAATATTTGTGCTCGGGAAGAGCTTCTTGTCTGGTGATGTCCGGTAATGACGCTATGAAAGCAGCCATGCACAACGGTTGCAATGAGCAAGGGAATGGATATGAACTGTTGGTTTTGTTTGGCTATTGGTTTGTGATAAGATACTGCTATGAGGGAATGGACAGTGCTAGCTCATAAGCAGTAGGAGTCGGTGCTCCTTTAACCGTGATGTTTTCATTTGCCTTTCCGATTCCTGCATATAACGGTTTCCATGTCGTTCATATTGTGATGCTTTATTGTCCTTAAGATGAAAAATAAAAATTTGACATCATTCACGTCTGCAAGGTATCGTCAGTAGCAATTGGAGCAAGATATCATTCCGGCCATTCATCAAAAAACCGCATGTTGATCTCTTGCGCTCTGGGTCGTTTCAGACTCCCTTGGGTGAATGGACAAGCTGACGCTCAATCTCTCTAAAAAATACAGAACCGGAAGTCCGATGATTCTCATGAAGAGTCGCACAAAGCTAATCATGACTTCTCTGGACATAAGGCTCCGGCAGACGGTACAAAAGCCCATGAGAAGCCGCATAGCGAGATACGGTATTGTAATATCAGCCCGGAAGAGACGGGTGACATTTTTTGACGCAGCAGGTAGGTTGCTCTCTTCTTGTCCTTGATGTATTGCAATAGACCCCGACGTATTTGACCATTTGAAGCTCACACTGTATTCGTAGGATGCAAATCCGAAATGTGGGTGCTGAAGTGATCGCTGCCCAACCAAGGATATACTAATAACGCCTCGTTCCTTAAGCTTCGATAAGTGCGAAGCCCAGCTAAGTAGCTTCCCAAGCCAGTTGCCTATGCGCTTCAAATTTGACTCTTGTGCCTCTTGGGGGCTTGACAAGGCGTTACTATGGTCCCGGACGCATATCTTGGCAGGGCTCGACTTAGCAATCCTTGAATCTTGGCGCAATAGCAAGCCATCAATTGAAGGCCAGAGGCCGGGGAACGGCTGGCTCAGATCGTTCTTGGTGAGGTAAGACTTTGCGCCACGTTTGGCAGGCCGGGATAGATATTGAGATGGGCCGAGCTTGGGGTCGCTCCATGGTTTCTGTCGCTTGCTGATATCATTGTCCATACCTTGCAGCAATATTGATCGATTGGTCAATCGGTTGTGAGACCTCGAACAACCCTGAGGAGTAGACAGCCGAGCTCTAGGTTCCAGCCATTTGTGACCCCCAGGGCCGTCTCTCGAGGCAGGCATTGGGCACGGTGTCGAATTCTCATATGACTCGAAGCCGGCAACGTCAAGGTGTGCTAGGAACCGTGGTTTAGGGGGTCTAGGCGGTTTCCACGCCGATTTGGCCTCCACAGGACCGCGACTATTGCGTTCGGATAAGCTTTTCTCGTTCAGTATAACGAGGGTTGTGCTTTCCGGTCTCGCTAGAGATGGAGTCCCTCGGTCCAATGTGCTGCAAGGTCCGGTTGTGCTCTCATACCAATTTTCAAGCACAAGTGAATCATTGAATAGATCGGGCAATCCTTGGCGGTTCGCCGTGTCCTTATTAGAGAAAGCTCCCATCATCCTGCATTCTGAGGTTGAAGGGTTTTTCGAGTGTTCTTTATCCACTTCCATTGGAAATATGTGGAAAGCATCAGTATCATGAGTATCGCTGCGGGTCATGATCGGGCGGGCAGGACAGTCATCTGGGTGTTTATACTGGAGTTGACTCGAAGAGTTTTGGGGATTGTCCGAGCCTTCACAGAAGGGATATTCCAGGTCACTGGACTTGGGCTCCTGCATGATTGCAACTGGCTTGGTGAACGCAGACGGCATCATTGCCACCCCAGAAGTGAATCGTTTGCTTTTTTAGCATCAACTAGGAAGCAAAAGGCCAAATGATGCCGGAATTAGGTGTTGGGCAAGTTAGAAGGAAGTAGACGAAGAATGGAAAGGGAATATGAAAGGCTCCCCTGAGCTATGTCGGAAAGAGCGATCCAGGCCTGTAGCCGAAAGGCATCAGCAACCAGTTGATCAGCCAGACGATTTTCAAGATTAGATATTTATGGGTCTCTGCCCCGAAAGCATGCAAAAAAGTGTTTCATGAGAATTGCTATAATTCTACAGGTTCAAAGTTGAAGTCGCGAGTGGATATGTACATCAGGTATCTATTTGAGGACGGCCTGCAGGCTCTCCAGCACCTGTTTTTGGTTGTCAGTCAGAATGTTCAGGTCTTGTTAATGGTGTTTGTCTTACCTCAAGCTCAATCTTGGCCTCAGCAATATCCTGCTCGCTGCCGCTTCCGTTGGCAATCTTCTGGGCCTCGGCGATCTGGGAACGGACGTTCTGTGTTGAGGATTGACAGGTTAGCACTGCGCACAGGGTAAAGCATGATCGGTTTAGAACCTACGTCAATGCTGAATTCCTCGAGAGGGAAACCCTCGACGGCGTTGATGCTCAGCTGGGAGTCGGGCTGGACAACGGCGAAACCACCAGACACTAATGTTCATAAATAGTCATGTCAGCCTTGCCCTGAACACGATGTGTAGCGGTTGATGTGAAAACTCTCGGCCCGCGGCACAGGTATCAACACGGTTGGTCGGACGTACGGAAGAACTTCTTGCTGGCACCACCCTCCTCAACGATCTCAACGAGACCGGGCTTGAGCTGCTCAATGGAGGGGACGTGGTTGGCGAGAACACCCATCTCTCCGGATTCGGCGGGGATGTTGACCTGGACACTATATGGGAAAGGATCGTGAGTATGGGGCGGTCTAGGGTGAAAGACGGTCGTCCAATGATTTCGACCTATTCGGAATGCGAGGCTACATACACGCCGGTCGACTTGAAGATAGACTGTTGAAAGGATAAATTGTCAGTATCAAAAGTTCGTGCAGGTGCACAGAAGCGCTCAACGGAATCGGAGTCGTACCTGGTGAGGAAGGGTCAGGGAAAGCTTGATCTTGTCCGACACAGCCTCGGCGTAACCTCTGCGCTGGAGAGGAACGCGGAGAGCGGAGGGACGGGCCCTGAAGGCAGAGCGAGCGAAGCGGAGAGAGCTCATCTTGCAATGGACGAAGGGGGTGGGTGGTGATAGTATCCCTCTTGAACCTGAGTTGGGAGTTGCAAAGGTCGAAGTCGGATGCCGGTTGTTCCCTAGCGGCTCGGGCGGTCACGTGGTGGGCCACGCGCCAACAGAAGAAGACCGCCGTACTCGGTTGCTGCGTTGACCTGCACAACGCTTAACTCCTTGTTCTCCGGCTATTGACCTTGGGTATGGTATGCGAAGATCACTCTCTGCTGAGGGTGCGTAGCTTCTATCTAGATGCATAGTGGGCGTGAACCTACCGCCAGACGTGGTTGTTGTTACCACGTATTGTACAAGCCTATGCTAAAGAGTCCTACAAGCTGGGAAAGTCAAAGCAGTCTAGGCGCGTAAAAGGAATAGAACATAAAAGCACCATTATCAATATCATCACAGTCATGTCGAATCTGATCCAACCAAGTCCGCATGTATTCAATACTGGGGGCCCCATGTCAATATCACGTGACTCGGCTGTCAACATTCCCGTCGTCATAACTATGGACCGGTTATCCATCCATATCTCTAATCTCCAATCGATATCAAACTCTCAGAGCTTGTGATTAAATGGTTTGCTAACCATATGCTTTCTGCATTGATATCTAAAGCTCCGGTCAACACGTGCTCCATCGAAACTATTTCCCCAGCATTAACTTCTAACTAGTTAACAGCCGACCATACTGTTAGTCATCAATCACGGGATTCTATGGTGCCTCAGGTATCAATACTGTCCCCAACATTGAAGATGCGCCACCATCTCCATGAAGGTATTCTAAGTAGCAGACACAGTTTAGCATTGTAAGTAATTTCATGTAGTTAGCAATCGAATCACAAGCACATGCAAATCTAGGCCCTAAGTCGGAACAGTTCCCCCCAAGCAGTCGCTAGATAAGTAGGCCTACAGTGAAGAGACACCGGACGGGCAGGACGCTAGCCGTGCTCGGTAAGCGAAATCCCACAGAAAACCAGCCCTAGCCGAACCTGCCTTGGGGACTCTGGCCTTCCGCTCCGTTCAGGATAACCTCACCCGCCAACTCCTCGTCAACCGTCTGTTAGTTGCGACAAATCCGACAAGATGGCGAGTACGTGACACCCCTTTTGCTCCAAAATACTCGAAACCCCGTTATTTTCGTTATACCGTCTTTCATGGGCGGGGAATGCGATTATCGACCATTTCAAATCGAAGAGTTATGTATCGCTGACATGAATTCCCACAGAGTCCAAGAACGCGTCTCAGCACCACAACAGCCAGAAGGCTCACCGTAACGGGTGCGTATCATAAGCCGATTATCCTCCTACCTTTTTATTTGTTCCAAGAATGCCACACGAAACGCCAGAGGACGAATACTGCGATGTTGGATAGAGGACGATATCTTCGACAGATTTGAGGCTCAGAGAACGGATAAGGAAGAAGAGGATACTCAATGAGGGAGGATATCGACCAATATCCAGCATTCAGCATATTCGTCCTCAGAATCAAAACAACAACTACAACGAACGCGGGAGAGAGATCGGAACACTGACCATCGCCTTCTTTCAAATCAACAGTATCAAGAAGCCCAAGACCCACCGTTACCCCTCCCTCAAGGGTGTCGACCCCAAGTTCCGCCGCAACCACAGACACGCCCTTCACGGAACCGCTAAGGCTCTGGTACGTTTTGTGACCGATCCAACAAGAAACTCTTGTTGGCCAAGCCAAAAGGAATCGACACTAACAACCCTACAGAAGGAGCGCAAGGAGGGCAAGCGCGAGATCGCATAAATTACTTCCAACTAATATAGAAACGTTTTAAAAGAAATGAAAGCGATTTGAGTTGGTTGATTTGCTCTGTTCCTTTCCTATCGACAAACAACGACAAAGGACTGGTCGAGAATACATGGATGAGGATATCACATCTCGTCGGGTTACCCCGCAAGACCGGGTTTGTCACATAAAGCAAATGGATTCGGTTCTCTAGTGTTGCTTTCTTGGCTTCATCTATTCCCGTGGCTGGTGGTTCATTTGCTTTTCTGACGTGCGGTTCTCATACCGTAGTGTGGTTGGTGGTGAAGTTGGTGATGAACCAGGCATATGTGTGTACAGCTCCGTGCTTATTTTTCCATGCGCGCTTGCTGAAGGATTTATTTACGTGCCGAGAGAAGACCCCATGCCCTCCAATTACCAAACACCCTTTCCCTTTGCTCTACCGTGGCGAGAGGGTGCATGGACGGAGGGCTACATACAGTCGTAGCCCATGTAGGTCGATAGTGAATTGAATTGAACTATACTATGATATCGTTCTTAAAAAATATATACTATGAGACTGTCCCTTATAACCTAGAGCTTCTATACTTCTCACTCAACCTTCCAAACGACCAACCTCTTATCAAACCCCCCACTAACCAACCACTCCTCCCTCTCACCCCCATTCTCCCCATCAACCCACCCCGCCCAAAGCGTCCTAATCTTACACCCAACCTCATGCCCATCCTTCAACAACGTCACAACCTTCCCCGTCTTCACCTCCAACCCCCTCACAACCCCATCATCCCCATTAACCCACACCCCCGACCCATCCGGTCTCCACACAACCTGCGGCGTCGAGTACGCCGTCTGCGGCGCAAACGTATTCGCCTGGATCAGAATCGCCGCGTCCTCGCGATTCTGCAGCGACAGGGCAGCGAAAGCCTGCGCCGCTTGCGTTGCTGGCTCCTGTTCCTGCTCCGCCGAGCCTGACTCCAAGCTCTCTGCTGAGGGGAAGAGCAACCGCACAATCATGACTTTCATATGCGGAAGAGTTGATGTTGCGATGGCTACGAGACCCGGGTCATGAGGGCTGAGGGCCAGACAGGAGGGGGAGAAGGCGACCCAGGCGTTGGAGTGCGGGGCGAGGTTTTGTTTACCGATGAGAGGGCATTCGTATCCGGTGGTTGAGACCGCTGACGGTTTGACATGGTAGTAGTATAGGTTGCTTGAGTCGCGGCGGGAGACGAGGAGGATTAGGTCCTGAGGGTTGTCGATGTGGGTGGTGAAGAGGATGGATTCGGGATTGGAGAGTAATGGGAAGGAGGCAATGGGGTCGCCGATTTGCGTAGGGGCTTCGTCGTTAATTTGCATGCGGTAGAGGAAGATCTTGGAGTCCCAGCCTGCGGTTGCAATCCAGATTGTCGTAGTGGTGGGAAAGGTGTCTGCTGTGTCGTTGTTGTGCTTCTGTTCGTAGGCGATGACTTTGACCGCGTATTTGGCGTGGTCCTTGCGGCGGTCTATGATTTCTGCGCCTTTTTGCAGAAGAAGCTGGCCTGACATATTGGTCATGAGGATGTATTTCCCATCTTGGACCGGGATATACGATAGAATTGGGGCCTCTGATGTGCCCGTGAATGACTGGACGAGGTCATGGCCAGGAGATGTTTGGAAGAGATGGAGGTGCTTGTCTGCGCCGGTGGCGATCAGATATGGCTCTGCTTGTGCATCTGGCCTTTGCCATTGCCCTACGGAGCATGCCAGTAGGTTTGAACTGGTTGGCGTTTGGATGATGTTGGGCTTGGTTGGTGCTGTAAGAGCAGGTTAGTTTCTAGCTTCTAGCGGGGCATGAAGGTGTTATACAGACCTGGAACGGTCCAGACATCTTTGTCCTTGTCATTGTCACCATAACGCTCGAAGTTTTTGCTTTGGTCAAAGGCTTTCTTCTCCTCGATCACATTCTCGATGGTCCAGTTGGTGGCATCGTCTTTGCCGCCCTGTTCTCCCGCGTCGGACGGGAGACCCGCTTCTTGCAGGAAAGCTTTGAGAGTTTGCGTGTAATTGTTTGTCCGTAGAAAACGGGCCACGAGGGTGCTGGCTAGTGGGATATTCTGCGATGGGGGTGGCATTTTGGAGGTTGGGCTGGGGTTGAGCAACGGAATGTACTTTGTCGAGCGATAACTGGGGGAAAGATATATATATCGGGCTAGTAGCTTCATCGCTCCACTCGAGCCAGATCTATGTTTCCGACACCGGATTGAAAGTGGCCTGCGCAAACAGACCTCCTGAGCACTACGCTTCATGAAGATACCGCATCTAGTGGAGAGGTAGGATGTTCTCATTGGGCATAGGCTGAAGTACAAAAGAATAAGATATATATAGGAGGAAAGATTGGTATCACCGATGTCAGCCGATTTTATCGAACTTTGCGCACCACCATCCAAGCAAAAGCCGAGCGACAACCAAAGAGAAACCAGTCAGGCAAATTATACACATAGCAACATGACATGTTGCTTGCAAAAAGGTCTACCCGAACCTAAGCCCTCAGCTAAACATGTCCTCCGCCCTGCGTCGTGGTCCTCCTCGCCCTTCAATCTTATCGGAAAACAACTCCTTGCCTGCGTTGGAACCGTATTTATTAGGGAACAGTTCACGAACAGACGCGCCCCGTCCTTTAATTGAGATGCCATTTGCCGCACCACGAATCGACATTCCCTGATCCTGCCTTGCTGCCCCGCGGATGTTGAGACCGCTTGTCTCGGTCGCCTCAGGGAAAAGCTCAATGTCGCGCTTTCGGCGCGCAGGTTGTTGGTCTTGGCTGCCATCAACAAGGGGCACTGAAATCCTTCGCGAGAAGAGATCTGCCGTCTCATCTGCGCCATCGATCGCGTCTGAACGGCGATGATTGCTAACTTTTTGAGGAAAGAGTTCCTTTGCTGTTCGGTTCGGGAAGAGCTCCCGCAAATTTGCATCGCTGCTTTTGGCTCCCGAGGATGGGAAGAGCTCCTTGCCTTCATTGCGGCGACCGAGCTGGGGCGACCGGTCGCGGAAACGTCTGCGATCCTGCCGATCGTCCTCAGCATACCCGCCTTCCATCAGTGTATCTCGACCGGGTGACGCGCTACGGTTGCGAAGGCGACCAGACAATCGTCCTTCTTCCTGTGGGAATAGATCGCGCCCCCCTCGTCTTCCCCGCCTTTCGCGACTGCGGTCCGACGAACGGTCGCGGCTGGCAGGCACCGTGTCATCATACATATTGGCACTGAAGCTCTCGCCTGCATCACGGTCTCTCCGACGTTGCAGTTCTCGACCATCAAATCGTCTTCGTCTGTAATCCCCGTCACTGACGTCTCCACCTCCCGAGCGTCGCCTGTCTGCAAATTCTCGTCGCAAGCGTTCCCGAGGGTCATGTTCAGGGTGCATGAGATAAAACCGACTGGCTTCGTGCGCACGAGGCTTTTTGCGATCCGCCTTGACAGCTGACCTAACCTGGAGCACAGAGTCGGGGTGGGTAGAGAGGAGCTTCGCAGATCGCAACCGTAGAGCAGGCAATGCGGATGCATCCTCCTCCTCGCTAACCTGCGTAAATGCTGACAGAGCTTGAAGACCAACCTCCGGCGAAGAGTATAGGATGTTCGCTGATGTGTCATCGATCCATTCAACGCGGCTTGGCTCCTCAAGGGCGAAGTGTTCGACAGCGAATTGTTTGATGTTGTCTGTCGTCAACTCATCTACACCGCGTATATGAACCTTTTCATACTGTGCCTCCTCATTAAGAGGGTCGATGGATCCATCTTGAACAGCAGTCGTTGCCACGAGAGTTTGTTCCTGGACAGTCGACGAAGACGTTAGGACTGGACGACTGGAATCTGTAATAGATCAGACAAAAGTAATACTCACAGTCTCAATTGGTTCTGCTTCTGGAAGGGGTCCAAGATCAATGTCCATGTCAATATCCATGGAGGCGTCCATTGTGTCAGCAACCGGGGCAGCGTTGGAGGCGTCTAGTTGAAGAGAAGGCTGCTGCGCGCTAGCTACCTCCATTGAGGGAGGAAACTTAGTCGGAAGAGGCGGGTATAGAATGTAATGCCAAAGCGAAATAAAAATCAGAGTAGAGTATCTTTAACAAAGCTCGATGGCAATAAAACAGAGAAGAAGAGGGGCGCCGAGGAGGCTGAGATGAGCGTAAAGTGAAGCCGAAAGGAAGTTGTCTTCTACACCGCCCGGACCAGTCGCCGGCGGAGTTTCGCCGCTGCCGCAGGCGATGATGTCGACGCTCCCTTTGTCACTTCAAACAGATGATCTACCCGACTGATTCTCAACTATCAATCAAATCTCAGAGAAGAGCGCACTTATTCTGTCGATATTCACAGGTCCTCATAAAGCAGGTCAGACTGATCACATAGCCAAGTGCTGTCCATGACACTTGATGATAGTCAGTGCGACAATGACGACCTTCATGTCAAGCAACACATGGCTAAAGCTGTCATTGAGCTGCTGGTCACCAGTGTATCCTCAGTGACTCGGGACTAAGGTCATGGCATGCTCGTGAAAAAACTGTGCCAAACGGGACAAATTTATCTGACCAGTCTGTCACTGCCTACAACTGACCCTGAAGCAACACTCCTAGCGACATCAGGACATGCTTCTGATTCTATCATGAACAATGATGCCAGCCTTTCCACACCGAGAATATAATTGCCATGAATATGCAGTCAATCGGGGGAATCCTGATGCAAGGAAGAGCTGTGGCGGTAACCAAGTTGATGGTGTCTCTCTGGAAGCTTTGCAGTCTGCTCACATCACCAGTTGCTATCGCCTCACTTATGGTGTGACAAAAGTGAACATGGTTCTTCCCTATGTTTTCAGTGTCCACCGATGAGAGGTTGAACTCATGCTTCCAGCTATATCGTCTCTCTGTCCAAGCCAACGATACGATGTGACTGAGCGGCCTGCTCAGGGAAGTTCTGCTCCTAGACGGTAGCATGTGCTAATTCACAAGAGAATGACGCTATGTTATAGTGTTATATAACATCGCTGACGATGTCTTTCCGTTTGTTCGCAGCCCATCATTGGAGGTCTCTCATTTAGCCTCCAGCAAGTGATATAGCAAGCCACGTACTACCCTAGCAGATGGTTATCAAACGGTGCCTCAACTTCCAGGTCACTTTCTTGTTCTGATCCACCGTCTAGCAAACGGTGAGGCCCGGTTAAAACCCGGAGTTACCCCCACCGGAGCTCCGGGAGATGCAATCTTTGGTCATATGAGAGCCATTGCTTCTGGTTTTGTTGTCACTCCCGCCATTGCCGTTGTCGAATGACGAGTCTGTTTTACAGACTCTGATGGGGTTCATACACCTGATCAGCGTAGCGCGCCGTCGCTTCGCAGTATGATGGGTAACCTTACCGGGTTGTCGCCCCGACGTTCCTGCTGGACTTAAACCACTACGATATTGAATACCACTCGTAGATATCGTTGTAGCGTAAAAGTGTAAGTGATCCGAAAATTAGAGCGAACATCATGGTAGATTAGTCTACATTGACATTGAAGGCCGTCTACAGCAACAACGGCTACCGCTGGCCCCATTTCAAGACAGAACCGTGGATCCGTCCACCTAGGATAATATGATATAGATCATCCTATTAATCTAGCAACGAAGCGATGACGGGGTCGACTCAAGGTAGAGTCAAGATAGCATTAATGCAATCTTGACCAGATGCAGGCCTGTGTTCCCGCCTTCCCCGCTTCTTGTCATCTCGACGCTTCCCCGGAACTTCACCTCCTCACTGAAGGAATGTGGCGGTTAAGATTAGGCTATATTGCCATATTCCAGTCCGATGAATGCTATTCGTGGACCAAAACGACTTCCGATCTCTTGGCCGGAACAAGTCACTCGCTTTAGAGCAGTCGTTTCTCTACGCTGCCTTTTTTACTGGACGAAGATGAAGCTGGTCAGCAGCATGCCCGTCGTGGCGTTGGTAACACCGTGACGCAGGCAGCGATGCGGCCATAGCAGAATACTTTGTGTCCTTCTCCTAATTGGGCTGCATCTGTTCAACTGTTAGTGTCAATGCTCTTGTCTTGGGTTAGACCGGTCATCGTGAGGGGCTGCAATTGCACAGCATGTTCAAACACCCCTCTCAGTCTCATTTCTTGACTGACAGATTTATATCACATAGAACCCTTCCCATACTCCTGTGACCTTCACAGCCTGCTTCCTTCGCACACTCACCCAGACAATCACATCAATACAATGCTGTACGCCGAAGACAACAAACTCATCTTCCGGTTCGACGACCATCTCCTCTGGATACAACCATGGGGCGAGAATGCACTCCGAGTGAGAGCTACCAAGCTGGCTTCCATGCCCACCGAAGACTGGGCCTTATCCTCTAAGGTCACGTCAATCGAACCTGCCATCAGCATTGAGGAGCACAAAGACTCCAGCATTACCAACGGCAAGATCAAAGCCACAGTATCCCAGCGCGGCAAGATCACCATCTACAATCAAAAGGGAGAGAAGCTGCTCGAAGAATACGCTCGCAATCGTCGCGATCTCAAGGACCCCAAATGCAGCGCACTAGAGGTCGAAGCTCGCGAGCTGCGACCAATCCTAGGAGGTGACTTCCACCTAACCATGCGATTTGAGTCGCTGGACCCTAAAGAGAAGATCTATGGAATGGGCCAGTATCAACAGCCGTTCCTCAACCTCAAGGGTGCAGACATCGAGCTAGCGCATCGGAACTCCCAAGCCAGCGTCCCCTTTGCGCTCTCCTCCCTTGGTTACGGGTTCCTGTGGAACAACCCGGCTATCGGACGAGCTGTGTTGGGAACGAATACCATGAGCTTTGAGGCCTATTCTACCAAGGTGCTCGACTACTGGGTCGTTGCAGGAGACAGCCCGGCTGAGATCGAGGAAGCCTATAGCAAAGTCACTGGCTATGTGCCAATGATGCCCGAGTACGGGCTTGGGTTCTGGCAATGCAAGCTGCGATACTGGAACCAGGAGCAGCTTCTTGACGTGGCACGGGAATACAAGCGACGAAACATACCACTGGATCTCATCGTCGTTGACTTCTTTCACTGGAAGCATCAAGGAGAGTGGAGCTTCGATCCTGAATTCTGGCCGGATCCCGGTAAGTCCTCCACATACTTCTAGATATATAAAGAACCCTAATATCAACAATTAACACAATCTACCACCACGCAGACGCCATGATCAAAGAACTCAAATCCCTAAACGTCGAATTAATGGTCTCCGTCTGGCCAACCGTCGAAAACGCATCGACCAACTACCCCGAAATGCTCGAAAAGGGCCTCCTAATCCGACACGACCGGGGGCTCCGCGTGTCCATGCAATGCAACGGCGACATCACCCACTTCGACGCCACGAACCCATCCGCGCGCGCCTACGTCTGGAGCAAAGCGAAACAAAACTACTACGACAAAGGCATCAAAGTATTCTGGCTCGACGAAGCCGAACCCGAGTACTCCGTCTACGACTTCGACCTCTACCGGTACCACGCCGGCAGCAACCTGCAAATCGGAAACATCTTCCCGAAAGAATACGCGCGGGGGTTCTACGAAGGCATGGAATCCGCAGGGCAAACCAACATCGTCAATCTCCTACGGTGCGCCTGGGCTGGGAGCCAGAAATACGGCGCCCTAGTCTGGAGCGGCGACATAGCATCCTCGTGGTCGTCGTTCCGCAATCAACTAGCGGCCGGGCTAAACATGGGTCTGGCAGGGATCCCCTGGTGGACGACAGACATCGGGGGCTTCCATGGAGGCGATCCGTCGGACCCAGCATTCCGGGAGCTGTTCACGCGGTGGTTCCAATGGGGGGCATTTTGTCCTGTGATGCGCTTGCATGGCGACCGGGAACCCAAGCCCGAGAACCGGCCTACGGATTCGGGCTCCGATAATGAAATCTGGTCGTATGGTGAGGAGGTCTACGAGATCTGTAAAAAGTACATTGGGATTCGCGAGGAGTTGCGCGATTACACGAGGGGGTTGATGAAGGAGGCGCATGAGAAGGGAACGCCCGTCATGCGAACTCTGTTTTATGAGTTTCCCGCCGACAAAAAGGCGTGGGACGTCGAGACAGAATATCTCTTTGGCTCGAAGTATCTTGTTGTGCCGGTGTTCGAGGCAGGAAAGAGGTCTGTTGAGGTGTATTTGCCGGCCGGGGCGTCGTGGAAGGTTTGGGGTCAGGATGATGTGATCCATGAGGGAGGGAAGAAGATTCAGGTGGACTGTCCGATTGAGACGATGCCGGTATTTGTCAGGGTCTGAGTCTCGTGGATAGCTTAGGTTGCCTGAAGGTGATGGATGGATGTATGGACGGGGGGTATAGCCGGAGCAGGGTTGGATGTATCGAGTTCCAAATTGTCAGAGAAGGGAGAAATTAGTTCAGCCAACATTCACTAAGTAATCACAAATGTAATCTGTCAGCATGTGTATGTGATAGACTTCACTCTACACCTTAGGTAACTTACAATAAGTTGCTGGGATATCGTAGCCAAAGTGCACGATCCATCAGGTAGCAAGAAACAGTAACTAGGGAGGGGCAAATGACAAATTCAAAGGTGACTTAGATGACCCTTTTTTTTCAATACTTGGGTCAATGGTTTATTTCGTTTCTTTTTTTCTGCTTCATTTTCAGCCTCGCCAAGGAAGAAAAGCAAGAAAGTCGCATGGATGGATGCTTCGACGACTGAATCTCATGGCAAAAGCGTGGCCACTATCGAAGACTAGACAAGTAGCGAACATTCTACAAGATGAGTCTGGAAGCTCTCTTAGATTTCTTCATTTTCCTCTTCGATCGATCTAGTGGCGACCAGGGTCTCCATGAAGATGTCGCCAGTAGCCCCAAGCGTAGCCACAAAATTCAGTCCAGCTTAGCCACATGGCCCAAGGATTGGGTTCTGGCAGGAAAAAGAAAAGGGTATGTATGGCTCAGCCCAGCCACAAACGTATGAATTTATCAATAGGAGGGAATAGTTTCTAGATCTGTAATAGGCGGAGACAGGTAAGACGCAGGAATTTGTCCAGACTGAACAGAGTTTGTGTGTTCTCCCTAGTCGCTTCCTTCTTCCTTTCCAGCCAAGAAGACAGTTGGCCGTCTCACCGTTGGATATACGAACGGGATCGATTGGCCCCCAGAAGAAGTACCAATGTCACAAGTGGAAGTCTGTGCAGAGAGCTATGACTGCTGCGTCTAGTGAACCATAACTTCTGGCAGCGAATCGAAAAGCCTCGCGCGGAATTATGTAACCATTTCAGCTTTCCTCACGCTTCAACCAGTTTTCCTAGCCACTGTAGCTCCGGAAGAGTTGACTCAAAGCGGCCAGTGCAGTGCATATCATGGGTCCTGGTGGGCACCGTCGCATCGCTTGCTTTCTTCACCCTCCCCTTATTTGTTCCTTTCCGTGCCGTCTGGCAGGTATACTCCCGAAGTCTTCCCTGACGGCTCGATTGGAGAGCCAGGAGCGGATCGCCAAAGAGGGGGAGGGCTGCCTAAAGAGGAGTTGAGGGTAGTGGAGATGGCCTCTGACGGAGTAGTTCGCTATGGAGCCGTACGTAGACGCCGACTCGGCAAATGCACGGTCGTCAAAGTCATCGTAGCACGGCTTGTGCAGAAGAATTTGCCGTTCCAGACCCTCTTTTCATTTATTTCTTTTTCCCTCGTTGGTCTTTCGGTTACCTTTGTGGGTTTTTTTCCTTTTGGCAGAGAAAAAAAAAAAGGATTGAGGCCAAAGCTTAACCCTGAATCCTTAGGGACAAAGTAGTGCGACGCCATCGTTTCCATCGTTCCTATTCTCAGTATCACCCCGGGCTGATGTTAGCAAGCGATTGATCCATCAGACCCCATTGCCAGTGGTGCGACAAACCAACCGATCCGACACTCCCTAGTTCCAGTTTCTGACCCGGATGTGCCGAGAATAGACCTGAGGGCTACTAGAAAATGGTAGCCTCCGCAGAAGACTGGGGATTTGACGGGAAAGAAGGGAAATTAAGGAAGAACGGGTGGCTCCAAGGCCATGGAAACGGACCAAGATTCAATCCTTCTTTGGAGGAGGGAAGCGGCCGCCGTTCCCGGGCACGCGGCTAGCTCGTGGGTTCTTTTTCTTGGTTGGATGAGGACGACGGCACATCCACGGCTCCAATGGTCCTTACCTCAGCGCCGGGACTGAAGGCTGAATGGGTCGTGAAGATTGAGTTTTGACCGGGTAGATTGGGTTTATTCGGGTGCACTGGCTTGGTCTGGTTGGCCCGGAGGCCCACTGATGTTCCTGCCACTCGCTACAGTCGGTAATCCGTGAACCATCCTATTGATGATTCACCTCTTGGCCCCAGGTGGCAGGGCCTCCCGTCCCAGGACGTTAGTTGTATGTTACTCTGATCACTCTCTGACCACCACGGGACCTAGGCTGCAGGTGCACACTCATCCGTTGGCACCGGTCACGAATAAACTTCTTTGACAGCGGGAGTGCCGTGGAGAACGAGGCCTGGTAACGGCTTGGATAGAAGCACAACGGGCAACGCTGATGCTGATGCTGATGTTGATGATGTCTTGTGACCCCATTCCAGTTACCAGCTGATTAGAAACGCTGGAAATGGAATCAAGAAGGTGTGGGTGGTGGAAAAAGAGAGTTTCTCACTCGATTTGTCAGATCTCAAGGAAGACTCGAAGCTGGTTGCATTCCAGTTTCGACAAAAGTCAATAGTGCCGTCACATCACATTAATCTGCATTGGTCCAGGAATCCACCACAACCACCATACCAAGACATGGGATCAAGGCGTCAGCTGCATTGGAGAGAGTTCACTGCAGCTCTGACATGGTGGTAGTATCAGCGACAGGCCGCGTCAACACGACGTATCCGGCCTCTAGGATGAGCGATGGAGCTTTCCAGATCTGTGGAAGGGGTAGTACAAGGAAAATCCAAGTAACTCTAGCTGAGCACATTGTATATACATGGATGATGAAGATGATGAAGATAGTATTTTCTTGAGCTGAGGAAAAAGAGAGAGAGAGAGAGTAGTTCTTTCCATCCCTGTACTCTTTCCAGCTCAGGAAGTACCTACCATACAAACACAATGTGTATGTGCCTCGCCTATGACGAAAGAAAGAGCATTATACAACCACTCATCGCTCCAAATACTTTTGCTAGCCATCCATGTATAGTATCAGTATACATCATCCATCCAACATCTTGGATACATCGAGTTATCTACGGGGAACTACCTGGTTACTCTGGCAGATAGGCATAGCTAGTTCAATACCCGACTCCAGACGTATACATACGTATGAACTCTGGATTAGATACTGGAATGGTTACTATTCTGACGGAAGGGTGGTACTGAGGCTAATCCTGCGGTGTAGCCATTATCGCGGCATCATCGCCTCTATCCCCTTAAAGGGATTCGCAAGCGCAAAAACGAAGCGGGGGGAGGATGGTAACTTCGTGGTGGCAGTGAAGTAACTGGGTGTTTCTACTTGGTTACAGATACCAAGTAATGGGTATTGGATAGATACGGTAAATCCATACATCAGTTACCGCGCTGAAGTAAGGTAACACAACCCCCGGTGGGGATCCTGGTCAGCCGGGAGGACGGGGCACAGCAACTCCTTTGTCACACTAAACCCAAAGAGATAATCGGGGCAATGCCCAGCCGGGCATCTGGGAAAGATCGGGGAACCCACATGGTCCCCGAAGGGGAAGACATAAACCCCGATCAGAGAGGGCATCCAATCACGGGCTTTCCTGCCAATTCTTGCTGCGTCCTGTATGTACCCTTCAACACATTCACCACTCCCTCACCCCTCCCCTCTTCTCAAATCTCCACCTCCATCAGATACCGCGCGACGTCATGGGTCTCTAACCATCTACTCCATACTAGCTAACGATGGGAGCCCTTGACTGGGTACCACCGGAATTGATTGCACATTCTCCGACGTCAGAGGGAGGTGAGGACAACAGAATACCTACACACACGTACCTTAGATCTGGACCGCCCCTCTCGATCCATCCATGTTATCACGGGACGGGTTTGACCGTTTTTTTGACCATGGATCAAGGTCCAGGCGAACCCCCAATGCTAGGATACGGAAAACGGATGAACAAAATAAATTCGAAAATTATAACTAGGTGCCACCAAGCAAGGATGATAGGTAGAGAAGGATGCAACAACATAGTACGGACTCGACCTATCCTCGAGAATGTTTCAACACTAGTTCAGACGATGTAGGTAACTTACGATCGCAACCGCCAGTTTACTATTACTGAATGAAGACAATGAATCCTTTTCATCGTCCCCAGGTACTATGTGCCCCAATTCTAATCATGCGCCGGTATAAATCGACAGGGCATGTGTCGGGACTGTGGTACACAAACGGGGTCTACTGACTCGGTAAACGCATGGGAGAAAAAAGGAAGAATAAAAAAAAAAGAATAATAATTTCGCGGAAGAATTATCGATAGCCATGCATTATCTATCTCTATGATACATGAAAGCGTCTCGAATTCAACAAAGGAGGAAGATGAATAGCAGTGTAATAGTAAACTCGTTATTGTCTCAGTGATTATTTTCTGTCTTCTTTACCTGTCTTGAAATTCCATTGGTTCCTCACCCGCGGAAGACAAGAGACTCCCTAACTGACAGCGGTGCTCGGACCTCCTGAGGTTCGCAGATTTGGAGGCCCGACAGTCAGGAAACAGCGGCGGGATGCGAGAGAGCCGTTCGCTCCACTCTTCAACTGACCCCCCCATACAGGGTGTCCTGCAGTCGGGGATCCCTACCCATCTGTCTTGGTCTCTCTCACCCTCTTTCTCTCTCTCGTTACTGGTTTTCTTTTCTGACGGTTACACGACGTCCTGCAGACGCTGTGTGCATGTATGTATGTGTGCGTATGGAGGGACAGGACACAAGGACGGTCGCGGTCGCGGTCTCGCTTAGAACTTGTTGTCTGTCGCTCACTGTTACATATTCTATTGACCTTCTAGTAGTACCGCGAAAAAAATAATCAAAAAATCTGCCTTGTGCCCCCTCAAAGAAACCATATTCAACTAAATCAGTAGCGCACAGTTAGACAGGTACCAAAATTAACATCTTACGCTTCAAAAAAAATAATAATAATAATGATATCGTGGAGCCAGCTGAAGATTTAATATATTCAGTGGCCAGGCACTGCTGAATATATCCCGAATATGGCAAGTGGCAGGGAGATCAATCAGGAATCCCGAGTGCTGCACGCTAAAGGTATGGGTCAACCAGGGTTTATCTCAAATACTTCCCGTGTCTCTGATTGGCAACCCAAGGCCAAGGTACATCGGGGACCATCGACCGGGGTTAAACAAAGTAGTTAGACTAGACCGGGCAAGTTAAGTAGTATGTTGGTCGTAGCACTGTACATCATCGTTACTAGGATTTAGACTCTTGTGGCTCCTTCGTGATATATTCAATAGTACACGGTTCCTTCTGACTTACTTTTGCTTCCGTCCAGCCGGGTCTATAGTAGGTGGTGGCCGCGATGGAGATGGGGTATTTTTTTTCCTATTATTATTTACCTTTCATGTATGTAGTGATGGTACCTTACAGCTGTGTGGAATTGAAACTGTTGGATTGGTCATATGTATAGTAAGTAGTTGTCCATCTGCCTCAGAAATATATATTTCGGCGGGCCGCTCTGGTCTTTTCAAAAGGACGATCACCTCTGATTTTCGTGGTACTTAATACAAAGTACGGAGTAATAATAACTAAGTAGTATCTTTGACAAATGACGTACGTGTGTCGACTCCAGTCTCTTGAAGTACATTAAAAATAATGGGGGAGTCAACTTACTAGTAGTAACCGAGTAAAAAAGCTGTGTCAGTAAGGCGATGTATGACTTGTTCCTGTAAGTAAATAAATATGTATGTAAATCCGTTTGTTTGTTCGTTGTGTACACGGTACTCCGTACCACGAGGTTAGGTAGGCAGATCGCAAGTACCCGTCCACATGGCAGAATTGTAACCCTCCCACGACGTAGATGGCGTTTGACACCGCTCAGAACCACCTCTTTCCCCCCTGTTTATTTATCGAAGTCTACTTACGTAGAAGTTCGATAGCTGTGGATTCATTTTTTGTATTTCATGTGAGACCAAGGCTTTTTTTGTGAGAGTTTTTTTTTTTTTTTTTTATTTCTGTTTCCCGGGGTAACGCCAGTTTATTTTTTGTAGATTCGAGGTAAGCCCAGGCGGGCGGGAACATACGTTAACGGACGTTGACATGGATGGGATGGGGTTCGGGGACCTGGAATGTAATGGAGGTAAATGGTTGTGTATAGTATCTATCCACAAATAATTACTGGGTCACAACAGTTGACGGGATGCTTATGAGCGATTTGGTTGGCGGTCCGGCCCACAACATGATTTGATTTTTTGTTCAGCTTGTGTGTGTGTTTGTGTGTGCGTGTGGAGGCAAAGACAAGAAAGAGAGGGGGTGTGGTGGAAAAGGAAAAATGACTAAAAGATCCAAAGAAGGAGAATGCTATTGTCCATTGAACCTCGTTAAAGCATAGCTAAAACACTATCGCGAGCCGAGACCATCAATTACATTTCTCCAGATCGTACCTGTCAATTGCATTAATCTCGCCTCAATCAAGATTAATCTAAGTGCGTCTCGTCCTTTTGACGAAATTGCAAAAGCCTACCGAGATCGCTCTTTTCCCCCTCCCAAGTCCCCGATCATCATTCCCTGGATAGGACTAGCCCCGCGCTTCCAGAATGACAAATACCTTATTTTGGCAGACCAATCAGCTGCAGATATGGGGCAGTGGTTCGTCACGTCATGCAGTTCAGGTCCTCAGGGGTTCGTGCTTACTAGCCTGTTTAGGTGGGTTGAGGAACCAATTGGTCACTGATACCTCAGTAACTAGGCTGCGGTACTACCAGTATGGCGGTATTGATGACAATTAGGCCCGACCAAGTTACACTCACCGTCCACACAGCCCTTCCTTCGCTTCCATCCTTACTTTACAGGAAGCATGTAGTAGGTTTTTCCATTGCGCGCTCCATGATTTGATGACGTTCAACGGCTTGACTCGTGGCACTCTTTTCCCTGAGGTGCCATATTTTTTCTCTCCCACCGGTGACTTGACACCTGTAAGCGACCTCCGTCAACCGCGCCTTGCTAAGAAAAAATGGAGCTTTGAATTTCCGTTGAGCCGGTGAAGGTGACATTTGGTTACCCACACAGCATTCCGGTAAGAAAATATGTATGTCGCTACTTCCGAAACGATGTAAGGCGGGAGAGGGGGACCATCTGTTGCTCTGTGCTGTAAGAGAGAGAGAGAGTGTGTGTGTGTGTGTGAGAGCGAGCCTGTGACAAGACAAACCCAGCCAATACAGGTCGGATGACCCTGATAATTTCTTCCCCCTCCCCCTTCACACGGAGAAAATCTTTATCAAATTCCATCAGTTCGCGGAGAGGCTAGGCAAGGAAAATAGAAGCCTGGAAGATTTTCTCGGAGACGCCGATGGAGGGTGGTGGTGACCTGGAACAATAGTTACTGCAAGAAGAAACGACGCATGGCAAAACATGGCGATGCCTTCATAGTTGCTAATAGTTCGGACGAGAAGAGTAGATGATAGACCTGCAGAGATGACTGCACGATGATCTGGATCCGATCGTCTTGAACATTTGACGAAGTTTATTGTTCCCCCCCTTCCCAGTTCCCACACCACTGGGAATCGAGGACACACTACGAGGGCCGTCGATTCGCCAAGCGCTCTTACATCGAGCACAGAGTGATCAGCCTAGATCGCCCAATCGCAGCAACGTTGTATCCGATCGAACAAATAGCTCCGAGGGCAAGGTTTTGGTGAATGGATGGCAGGCGAATAGTACTAGTAATCCCATAGTCTAGGATGGTTAACTTTAGCTTCTCAAATGGACCCCATCCATTCCCACCGCTTAGTATGACAGCGGGACGGTACCGGCGTGGTGAGCTGACGAGCACTTTACTCTGTATGGCTTAGGGAAACAGGTAACCCCTCATAAAGGCACTGGTACTTTCCGTTGGTCACGATACATTTGGAATCTTCCGACCTTCCCCGGATGATCGTGACCAAAGTCATCGTAGAAAGGACAATATACGGGGCTTTTTTTATTTATGTACGCACTCCGTAGCTGCAGAGCAGGGTGAGGCTAGTACCTGGCTGGGAGGGCCATGCTCCAGGCGAACAGCCAATGAAGAGGCAGAAGGCCACTCTGCCACATTGATGGGCAATCCCGAAAAGGGGGAACCTGAGGATTCCATGAGATCTATCATACTTCTGTTGCATTGCCTACAATGGTGAGTCTCGTCGCGGATCCCTTACCCGGATAGAACCCTGCAGGTCAAAGTGAGTCAGGAACTTGTATACTGGGTGCTGGTTGGATGGACCGAAGAAAATCTACTTACGTAGTAACCCATTTTTTCTCCCATCCATCTCCCCTTGTGTTTACTCTATACGGCGAATGGGAATGTGGTTCAAGCGTTGCGTCCGAATTAAGCGAGTAATAATAATCCACTGCATAATAGTAGTAGGAGTAGTAAGTCGTACTTAGTACCTATCTGAGCCAACTGCACGGGCATCCACTGTATTGTCCCTAGCCAATCGACTTCAAATCCTTTATCTTCGTTCCTGATCGACTTCGAGATGCAGAAAATAACGACAATGAACCGAGGAGACGGGACAGCGGTCCCGTGTCTCTGGTGCAGAGGGATTCAGATCGAGTGGGCTAGTGAGCATCTGTGTGTAAGAAACGAAACGAAAGCGAGAAAAGATATCCGAGGCAATATGCCGTAATGATTGGTCACCTTAAGGAGTTAAGACCAAGCTGACTAACAATTCGGTGGTGAGAACGAGTCCGATCTTTGGTAATCTCTGGTAAGTGCGCTTGCCTTATGCCTGGCAGCCGGTAGCACCGGCGCGAAGGTACTCCGGCCCAGATTCGAGATTGCGTATGATCCCCATGTCGATCCCAACCCTCCCGGGTATGAGACAAAGCCAAAAGATTCCAAATCTTCAAAGGGCGCTAGCCGGCTCTGCACCAATCACTGCCCCCACTCAAACGGTTCATGTTCTGGGTAACGGCCCACGGGGAGTGGAGGAGGGATCAAGCCTGCGTCCGGTGCGGATGAGGGTTAGCGGCGGCCAATGGGCGCCACCAGCCAAGGGTGAGGCCAAAAGTAGCAGGGTTACAAATCGCTCCATTAGAGTGCTAACTACGTATTGTAGTAGTAAGTATCTATCTAGTACTTTACTCGAGGGTAAAAAAAGTGGAAAAAAAAAAAAGCCTTCATGGCTGGCTGATGGATATGGTCTCGAATTGAATTCCTGCAAGCAATAGTAGCTATAGTGGTGTTGGAAGGAGGGAAAATAAACTTACCCAGTATTTGGTAGCAGTGAACAATGCGCAACAAGAATTGTCATCTCAATAGTAGAAATCATAGATGAAGCGCAATGTATACCTAGACTGGATAAGCCATGACTCGCTCCTTTGCCTACAATGGCCCTTTTTGCCTATCAACTTGCCTGGGGAGAAGAAGGAGGAGGGGGGGGTGGTGGTGCGGGCGCCTGTCCACGATCTCGGTACACCTTAACGCCATTATGCAACCACTCGGAGGTGCTCTTTGTCATTTTTCCGCATCTTTCTCAAATCGGCAATCTACTTCCCTGTCCCCTGCTCTCTCTCTCTTTCTCTTTTTCCCTGCCTTTCCTCCCCTCCATCAGAATTTCTAATTCCGAGGTTGCCCGCCCCGCCTGACTGACCCATGGAAACCCATCCGGTCAGTATGACCACTCCTATGCTCATTCGCCTACCTCCAGACCGTTTCTGCCGCTCCCGTTTTCCTGTCAGGGCCTGAACTTTGACGAAGCATGGGCCAGTCCATACTTACCTAGTAGTAGCAGTCGAAACTGGGTCTGGTGGATAGATCGCCCATGGTCTGCAGTCTGCCATAAGAAGCGGAAAAGGGCCGTGAACTAACCAACTAGGTTTGGGATTTTCCCGTTTGGTCGACGCCCGACTGATCGGTACCGTAGACTTGCTCGCACTTTTTCTCCCTCTTGTGTTTGGAAAAGCATCCACAAATTTAATTAATTCTCCCTGTCGTGCTGCTATTATTGTACGTTTCATCGCTCCTATCTGTCGGATCAGCTGGGCTGATGCGGGAAGTTGGAATTTCTCATCCATCCATCCTTTACTATTCTTTCCGGTCAAGGCAATTAGTCTCTATCGACAGGGTTTTGTCACCAACAGGATTAAACTATCAGCGATGGATGGGTAGATCAACCGCCCAGGATGTGATGTCCGAGAAACGCCGTAGTCAAAAATCACATTCTGGATAGCATGCTTGGTAGATGCCCTGTGTGGCACACCGTAACATGGCACTCGTGTCAACCAGGGTAGCCTTGCTACAGATACGATTCATGGAATGGGGTCCCCTGGACGTCTCAGCCTGCTTCTTGTCTCTTCCACAATGTCTTCGATACCGCAATTCTCAGAAGAAGACGGGGGGGGGCAAATTAGTTGCAGAAAAAAAGGACCAAGTCTACTGTAGAGTATCCATCTCTATGCCTCACTACACCAGTAATAATAGCATCATCCATGATCCCTGCTGCAACACCGATCCTCTGGTAAGAATCAGTCACTAGGTTAGCACCTATACTAGGTATTGGATAGTGGCAAATCCTCTCCCCACGATCCGGAAACGCCAGCTTCTGGGACTGCTGCAACTGATCCTGATAGCTGCCCTGTTTCCTTTTTTCCAGCCCCTCCGTTGGTCGTGTGGTTGCTTTGCAATTCTTTTCTCTCCTCCCCCCCCCTGTCAATTGATGGGTCTGAATTACCCAAAGGAGATACTGCAAGAAGTTTTGCCCGTCAACTTCACATTTCCCCACTTTGACCTCAAAAGATCGGTTCTAGTCCAGACACACATAATTTTATTATTATTTCTTATTTTCTTTTTGTCATCATATAGCCCGCATCCGCAGTGCCTCCCATAGTCACAGCCTGGGGCGTCAAAAGGGCAGTAGTAGAGCTATGGATGGAGGTCAATCTAAATTAATCAATGAACTAGCCTAGTAGGTCTGTGCCCCTGGGCTAGCTCTGCCTCCTTGAGGAAGGCTACCTGAGGTGGTACCTGCCTAATACTAAGTAGCTGCCCCCTACTAACCAGGTACTACCTGTTACTACTACTAGTGACTAGTGTATTTTACACGCATACTGCGGTACCAAAAGTAAACTATACGGAGAATACCATACATACCAGCGGGTACTGAATGGGGCGTCAGGAAAATAAAAAAATAAAATAAAAAAGAGGGTGGGGGGGAAGAGTCAGAAAATCGGAAAACAGAAAATCAAAAATCGATTAGGAAAAAATAAAATCATCACAACAATAAAAAAAATTAAAAATCCAATTCCAAAAAAAATCAATAATAGTTGGCATTTATTATTATTAAATTTATTCCTCCGACACAACTGTCAGCTCCGAGATCTTGGATCAGATCTTCTCCTATAGCGTGCTCTAAGTGTGGAGCAGTAGCCATTTTTCTCTGACCCGTCTCCCTGGTCATTGTATTCTGCTGCTGCTGCTTGTTGCTATAATAGATGATCGTAACCTTCATCTCCATCGCTCCTTGACACCACTATTGTCTATCGCCCTTTCTCTAATTCCAATTCCCCCTTCCGGGTCTCACCTCTCTTCCTATATATCTACCACCTCGACGACGCACCTTCGAACCTTATTCTTTCTCCATCATCAAACAAACTCTCTCTCCCAACTTCCCACTCTTCCTACATAACCCAACAGCTCGGTTGCGTGGTCATTGCTCCTCCCTCCTTGCTTGCCTACTATCTACCCTTCTCTCGTCCCTTATCCATCACCCGCGTGTGTCTACACTTGTGTGTGTGTGCGTGTGTGTGTCTCTGGTCTAGTCCGCTCCGGGTACACTAAACCTCCCACACAACCACAACCCCACGGTAAGAAGCCTGTTCCCTTTAAAGACGTCAACCCTTCCCCGCCCACGCATAGTACCTGAACTCTGTCGGCGCCCCCCTTCGACTGTCCAACTCTCTTTAAAAACTCTCCGACCTCCTGGCATTTTCTGAAGTCTAACATTACATCGATAGATTCTCCAACTACCTAAATTCTTCCATCAATCACTCGGATTAATTTTCCCTTGCCAACTACTTCAGCAATGGCTCCCACTCATCGTCGTGGACCCTGGGTTCCTGAAGAGGACCAGTTGCTCCTTCAGTTGGTTCGCGAACAAGGCCCCAACAACTGGGTTCGCATCTCTCAGCACATGCACTACCGCTCGCCCAAGCAATGCCGCGAGCGCTTCCACCAGAACCTCAAGCCCTCTTTGAACCGTGAGCCCATCTCTGCTGAAGAGGGCTTGATGATCGAGCGGATGGTGAACGAAATGGGCAAGCGCTGGGCCGAGATCGCACGACGCCTTGGAAACCGCAGCGACAATGCGGTTAAGAACTGGTGGAACGGCAGCATGAACCGCAAGAGAAGAGGTCTCCCTACCTCCAGCTCGCCTCACGCCGGACGCACAATGCACGGACGGGTCGAGGCCCCATATGCGCGGGCCTCTCTGTCCATGAGCAGCCCCATCAGCCGCTCTCGCTACTCTTCCATCTCCAACGACAGACCTCTGACTTCCTGGACCAAGTCTCCCTCATCTCGGAGGGATTCCTTCTCCGCTGCTTCCATCGACTGCCCCCGCCAGTTGACCCCGATCTACACACTTCCTGCTCTTAACCGCCCAGTGGAAACTCCTCTCACATCGCCTGCATTCTCCGAAGCTTCTTCCATGGAACCTCCCTCGATGATCTCGGACCACAACTCCGTTTCTTCCTCCTCTCCCAGGACCATCGCCTCGCCACAGCTTCTTCCCCTTCCGGTGGACATGAGACAGCAATACGGCGACTTCCGCAGGCAGAGCACTTCGGACGATATCTACGCCTATCACGATCTGTCGTTGAAGCAACGGTGGATCTCCGATCACCAGCAATGGAACCAGCACACTCCGCTATCTCCCACATGGTCTGCTCCGATCGAAGACAAGACGGAAGCCCCGCGCGACTCGCGGATGGGCCTTCAGAACTTGCTCAACTAAATGACGATAGCTCCCATTGCTGGATATGATCACACGACCTTTTCTTCTGTCATCGATTTTCTATGGGAAATTTTATGTACATGACCTCCCGACCCTCGTCACTCCTTTGTTTGGCATAATTTCCTTTGTACTTATATCATCACCTCATGTATATTGTCTTTTTGGATGGTTCGGCTCGGCTATTTCCACTGCGGGTCACGTGGATACGGCCCGGTTTCCTTACGGTACCAAAGAAAAGCATTCGGGATCTCCTTTTGTCATAGTTATTGTGTTCCCTTCCCTTATTTTCTTTGTCGCTCATCATTTGGCTTACTGGGTATGGGGTTAATCATTGTGTATAGAGGAGATTGAGGAGTGCTGTCCATTGTTTTGCATGTATATGGCTGGGTTTTGGAGACTTTTGGAAAGTACTGTGAGCTTGGATCTAATAATACCCCATGACTGTTGGTTGTTACATCGCGCTATCGACCAGATGATCGTTTAATGATACATTAATAATACTTCCACTCAAATAACTCTACTCTTCTATCCCTTCAGTTGTAAATTCCGATTACTGTTTCTTATAAATTTCTCCTCGACACTGCCACCTCCACTCACCATTCTGGATGGGGTCTTGGTACTTTTGGGATGTTATTTCCGGATTTGGCAGGCTTACTTTTGGGCGCCAGCCAGGCTTGACCGTTGCACCCATGGACGAGCCCAGGAGGATGATAGGGGGCGAGGGGCCCACTGGAACAACGCCGCATATCCTCCGTGACTGTGGCTGGCTGTCATCAGCTCCTGTCTTCCATGAAAGCCGCGGAATCTTGAGGTTCAGAACGCAAGGGGCGACCCAAAGTTACGAGGCGAGACCGCATGAGAGAGACACGAGCAGGTCAAGGAGGGAAGGCAGCGTGACAGTGCAATTACTGGTTAAACCCCGGGAAATCTAGAAGTGGAAAAAAAATAAAAAAATAAAAAATAATAATAATAATAATAATAACAATAAATAAATAAATAAATAAATAAATAAATAAAAATTTAAAATAAAAGAAAGAGGCCCAAAATGGAATCTGGGTCATGAAAAAAAGAAGAATACTATGATTTACGAAGTCACATTTGAAGGGGGTGGGAACATCACCACATACATACATACATACATACAAGGTTGGATGAACAGAGACACAGCAGTAGCAACACCGGACAGCATCCACCAACCGTCGTTGGCGCATGGCAGACCACCTCCACGGAAAAGTGGAATGGATAGGTCCATTTAGGAACACAGTTGACGACTGTCTGATCCAATCCTTCCACTTGGAGTTTGGGGATTGGCATGACGAATGGATGGGTGGATTTTGGAAGTCGTGATGGTTCATGCATAACGGCCACTGTCATGGAAGTGCTCTCAATGGCCGGAAAGCCTTACCCTTTCCCCCCTCCCCTCCACTACCACCACCACAACTTCCTCCTACTGAAGTACTACATTAACTTGGCCCCAGTTGGGATGGGCTCTAGGAGGTAAGGTTGATAGCCAGACAAAGTTTATCCCAGGGATTTGGTGGATTCCGATTTGACTTCGGTTGATTCGCCAGCGCCCCTCCCTTTCCTTGTCTACCCTCCCTTTCTTTACTCGTTTGCGCACATGTCGCTAACGGTCTCGAAGCAGGGCTGTCCCGTTTTGATTTCTGTTTCTTATTTATTTATTTACTTTTATTTTACGTTGTGTTGTTTTGACCTTTGCGCAAGCATTCGACCTGAATAAGGTAAGTAAGCTTGTTGGACATTGAACAACCGCCTGTCTCATTTGGGACCCATCCGCGGTACGAGAGTTATGGGGGGATGGGGAATTCGACGGGCTTCATTCCCCCATGGACTTCTTGTCATGTCAGCAGTCGAGCGGTCCCCGAATCGGGCTCCAAAATGGCCTATAGTCAAGAACAGGCAGAAGAAAAGCTAAAAACAAAAAAAAAGAAAAGATAAGACAAAAGTGAAAATGGAAAAAGAAATATAACGAAGCGCAAAAGGACGAACGATAAGAACAATGAGCAGCCTTTCCTACTTTCCCCTCCATTCCCGCCACATTTTCCTCAAAGATGTGCCCCTACTACGACCTTCCTGGTCTGGACTTGGTGTCCAACTCACTAGTGGCTTTTTGGGCTATCCCAATCGTGACGTGCTGCTCGGAGACATGGCTGCTTCTTTCCAACCTGACTCGCCACACTCGCGACGGATACCAAGCCACACCCAGTGAAGGGGAGGGTGCTGCACGTATGCCGATCAGGCAATCACCATGACTGATCAAGAATGAAGGCATCGGCGGGGTCACCGAACGCAGGAGCTGTAATCCACTCGGGGGTGTATGCACTGGCACTCATGGAGTGTCTCCAGTTCTCTACGCTGTGCATACCCACGACTTGTGGTCTGTTTCAGCCAATCTAACATCTCACACGCACCACTGTTGCGCTGCCATGCGTGCATGAGCATACCAGCTCCTGCTCGCCTACCGGTAGGCGGTGCAGATTCAGCTGGGGTCAAGGTTGGGTGGAGTCAAGTCCAAGGGTGAGGGAAGGATGATGCAGCTCGTCCTGGAGGACGTTGGCTCGCCAGTGACCCTCTCTGACGACCATTTGCCGATAGAGAATCCCCTACGATTCGTATCGAGTACGCATGACTATGTAGATATCTCTCAGACGCATAGGTTACACATCAGTACATCCACATACACAGACACACCTACCAGGTTAGGCATACTCTGACACAAAGGTTCCGGGGGTTACACAGGACCAAATTTGGGCCTTTCTTGTGACGTTGAATCGCTTATCAAGTTCCAGAACAAATATAGCATGAAACAAGACCTTCTACATCCGTGCCAGTCGCACCACGCGGGAACCCAGCACTCCAGTGAAGTAAAGGAGTTCGACAATACGGGGTTGACTACAATTGCCAACACCAACACCAACAATGGCCTAGTGAGGAAATGAAGCAGCAGCAGCAGCAGCGGCAGCAGCAAATCAGTCACCGCCGGCGCACTGGATCTGGAGCCCTGCCGGCCAAGAGATTCTCGCATTAATTAACTACCGCTGATCTTTTTTTACATCTGATTTGGAATTCTGGTCACTAGCGCCCCGCTAATCCACTTCCGTCCACTCGCGACATGCACACCGTGACGTACCCTCAGTTCCATCCCCGATCCTCCATCCTGATTTGACAGACGGACTAATTAGGAGATTTGCACCCTTCACATTATGGGGGAGAGAGGGTGGTGAACGACAACCGATCTGTTCATCTCGTTACCACTCATCCAAGTTTCCCCCCTTCCTCCTGTTCTGGTTCGAGCATGTTCCGCTTCTCCGATCCATTGGTCAAGGATGAGAGAGGGCTTGGCAGTGGAGCCCTGGGCGACCGTTACACAATCTCCACGATGGCATATTATTCTGGTGGAAGCATCGAATGAGGTTCCAGCATCCGAACCTGCTGCGGATGCTCTGCAGATAGAGCAACTCAAGTTCCAACAGCGCATCCATGGATCCCCTCTGAACACACGACCCAAGATACGGGGTACGTCAGTTGCCAAGCAGGCAGACAAGTCCGGCCAAGCGATCGTCGATATTAACAATTAATGTTCGAAATTGATTAGGCCCCAGGCACACACACGCACAACGCTCAGTCAACTGTCTGGATGCATTTAAAATTGATTATGGTTAATTTGTAGTATATTGCAGTCTATCACCACTACTGCCGCCGGGTATAGCATCCTGACAGCTGAAACAATCCACCTCCAACAATTCAGTTAGTGAAGCAATCTACAAACCTTTGTCAGTGTCAGGTTATTTTTAAAGCTGTCTCGTTTATCCCCATTCCCATCACAAACCCCCCCTGCCGACTCTATCGGCCATCTGGTCGCCTGCCCAACAGAGCCGATGCGGTTGTTTCGGGGACCTTAATATACCACTGTGGGGATTAGTGCGTTCAGCCAAAGAGAGGGAAAAGAGAAAGATGTTGAATCATTGGCGCACCTCTTCATTCATCCCACACCCCCTGTCTTCTGCCCAAATGATGCGACATTAGTATCCGATATTATTAGTATGATTCTGTTACTTCTCCCCATAACTCTTGGTTTGTACTAGTGATGTGGATTTGTAGTTGAAGCGTTGAGGCGCGAATATCCCTTTTTTTTTTATCCTAAGAGAACCAACCTATGGAGTAGTTTGACTAACTATTCTCAGATTTACGGTTTGATTTTCCCTTCTTCCCGCACCCGGTTTGATCGTCAGCTATGCAGATTTATGCATGGATGGGGAGCTCTTATTGTTCCAGATAGATTGTTTATAACAGCTTTCTTTCTCTCCTTCTCTGCCTCCTCAGGTCTAATATTGCCACTCCAATAGTCGCTGGGTGCTGCGCCCTCCCAACTATTACCTTCCCCCCAAAACCAAAGCCCAAAGGGGGCGGCGCAGACACCATTCAGCTGAGCTCGTATGATCCTCATACATCATACACCATACACTCAACAACAATCCTATCCCATAACGGACGTTGTTATTACCATTAACGCCCAACATCCATCTACTTCCGATACCTGACCAGAAGGAGGAGGAGAATGGGGGCGAAAACAGAACCAGAAACGACCCCCAAACTAAAAGCAAAAAATAAAATCAAAAATAAATCTACGATATCTACAAAAACCTCCTCTCGATCTGATCGAATCAAATCAACCCTAGCCGATTTCCTCAAACGGAAAAAGCTCAACATCACTACTAACCCGCCCGCTCCGCCCGCCCAACGATTTGATTGATTTTCCCCGATCCATTCCATCCCATCCTCATCCATGGATCCATTCATCCCACCCACACTGGTTTGATCTCCTCCCACCGGCCCAATCCCTCTCGTCACGATTCTAGTCGCTTCTCCGTAATCATCCACTTCTAACCACTCAGAACCTCTTCTCCCCTCCCCAGCCCGTGAGTAGTGATCTTCCCGCGGTCCCTGCGAGGCAGAGTCTACCTACTTACCGCCGGTCGGCGCGGTTAAAACGTCCTTTCTCCAAGCGACCGACCCAGAACCAAGGGTTGGCTTTTCTCTCTTAGTCCGAGTGCTGTGTTTATGTGAAACGGTCGCGCGAGGCGCTGTGCCCACGATTTACATTCGGTTAGAGAGGCATTCCCACCCTCCTCCTCTTTCTCCTGAATCGAAGGGGATGGATGGATGGGATCGAATCTGGAGAACTTGAAATCGGAAACGAAACGTGATCGATGAGATGGGTGGTGGTGGTAGTAGTGGAGCTTTGTTCGCTACGAGGACGAGGCTGGAGATCGATCACTGTACACGTTCTATCGGTTCACAATGGTAAACTAGTATTTCTCCTTATGAGGATTTTTTGGATTCTCCCCCCATCTCCTATTTCTGATGAACCTTCCCTTTTGGTGGGCTTCGATATCGGAGTGTTGGACTTTTTTGACTTTTTTTTTTCTCCCCTTCGGATAAGGGATCGGGACGGGACTTTCGGAAGAATATTGTATCTACTTACCGTACGTACCGTATCTGCGGATAGGATAGGATAGGATAGATACACGGCACGCACACACCTACCTTATTCTGTTGAGGCTTGCTTTCACAAGGCGGGAAAATACAGCCGCCGCTGCTACTGCTACTGCTACTGACAATGATAACGTATCAATTAGGTAGGTTGTAAGCAAAACCCCATGAGGCCAGCCAAACGATAACCGGAGAAAAAAAAAAGGAGTGGGTCTCAACTCACCCTTTCTTTCTTTCTTCCTTTCCTTCTGGCCCCCTCTCCCCTGCTGCCCAGCCTGGCCCTGAACAGTGAGTGCAGCAGGCATGACATGACACAAACCCCCCCTCCCTGTCTCGCCAGTTTTATCCAGATTGATAAGTAGTGCCCAAGCTTAATAGTGGCTGATATAGATTACTTTACCGCATAGCATACTCAGTAGAGTATAGTAAGTAAGCTATGTGTAGATGGGTCGCTGTTAACTTCTTACCGTTTATTCTTGTTTAAGCTTCAACCCCTTTTTTTTCATTTAAAATAAACTCATCCATGGAAATTGACTTTTTACCGTTCCGTTGAACTTTCCCTTTCGTTGCGAGGTAGGTAACCGGTACAAGAATAATGCTAATCGGAGGTAGAATTTGGCCGCGTTCCGAAGCATAATTCCAGTATGGCAATGGCAGCGGTACCCATGGCGGCGGGTATATCCGATGGAAATTGCAAAACCACCTACCTAATATGACTGATGAAATTTGAGATCTGAAAATTGGTCCTGAGCTTGAGCTCCATTGCTACTTACTTAGTTCACCACTATCTAGGGCATGTGTTGAGTTTCAACAACGCGGGAAATAAAAGACAGATTTAGTAGAATTGGAAAAGGTTCCAGACAATCAATTCCATCCATCCCACACGCTCCATCTCCAAGTGGTGGTGCTTAGGTTAGTGCGGGCTGAAAGAAAGAGACCAGGGAGAGGATTAGGCATCCCGCGCGCTAATTGGTCAAGCGTAAATACGTACTTTTACCTCCTCATACTTCTATTGCTGAGGGGAAATCATGGTTTAAGAATAAATTAATTGCTTCCCTTTGCATATACCCTATGAGGTTAGTTAACTGTGCAAGTGCGGAGTGTGTCCGTTGCTTTAATGGGTAGTAAGCTACTAGCTAGCTAGCTAAGGGGAGTTAAGTCTTGCCCGCATTTCCGGGTGGTTTTATTCGTCTGTCGGACCGGGATAGCGGCGCTGCGCCTATAGCGGAGGACGATATTATTGTGGTGGGAGAGGTGGGTGGTATCTTTGATTCGATTGTTCCGGGGGGGGGGGAGGAGGTTGAAGCTGGTACTTATTGTAATCATCATTTGATTTCATTGTGATTGGGGTAGTACTTAGTGTATGTTAGATAGACACTGCATGCATTACTGTCATTATGTAGATATCTCTACTACGTACTATTTATCAACGCCACTGCATAATTCTCCTCCCAGATACATACAAAGTATCTTCCTCTCCCACTTCAGGGTCTAATTACTCAGGGATCCATCAACCAACCCCAATAGTACGGCAGGGTCATGACGACGACGCCGCCGACCTATCCATTAATCCCACTCCGTCTTTATTTCTCCTCTCTACTAATCCTTCAGTCTAACTACGGAGTTAGTCTACTAGATACTAGACTAAAGGCAGCGACACCACCCCCCTGGAACAGAGTGGAACCACTGGCCACCAGCAGAACTAAGTTAGCGCAGCACAGTCTCGACGTTGAGATTTGAGCCGATTCCCATCACATGATTGGATGTCGGAGGATCTCGGTGTGGGAGGTGAGTGGGTGATCGATGATCGACTTGGCCAGGTTAGGATTAGGGTACCCGCCTTGCCGGTCCGCCCGTGATCGGCAAGCAAAAACGCAACTAAATCGCTGGGAATTTTAATTTTTTTTTTCTGAAATCGTGGTTTGGTTATAATAAGTTAGTTCGTATTCTGTAACGCTACGCTATTTTACTGAGGGAGATGGGGTTGGGTAATGTGAGGTGTCATTTTTGGTACCTGAAGGAAAGTAGCATATAGGATATTATGAAGTATATGGAATTTGATGATTTCAGTTCTTTTCTCATGTAAGCTTTCATGATAATGAACATATTCCCAATTTGTACATAAAAAGCGAGCAAGCAAGCAAAAGCGCATCAATGCTCCCCGAGCGCAGGGACCCCCCCGAAAAACACTAAGTAGATAGTTACCTTGTTGATGGATAGACAGACGGACGGACAGTCGACTTACCGCACACCTACACAGACCACTTTCCCAATTTGAGTGCGACTGCGATTCAGCCAAGGCACACCAGCTTTCCGACACCATTGACAAGTATTTGTCAACTGGGTGGGTCCCTCCCGGTATACTCCGTATGACACTAAAAGTTACTTAAGTGAGTGTGGGTATGTAACATATCCTTGTATAGTGTGTATCTTAGCTTAGTGTGTTTTCTTGGTAACCGCATACAATACAAAGATACAAGGGGGGGAGGAGGGCCGCCAACCAAATACGCAATACGACCAGGGACAGCGCCCAATGCACAAACCCCTTCTACGTAAGGAGTTCCTGCTAAACCACGTGGAGATGGGCTTGTCAGATACAAGCCGTTGCGCGTGTATGGTTTTGTATTGTATTGATACCACACTTCTCCCTTTTGTTTTTGAATGGTATTACGCGTTTGTATGGGCGTAAATCCGTATTGGGCGAGGAGGAGAGAGGGGGGGCGAAGTAGCTCAGCTCAGCTCCATCCACCATAGCCCATCCATGACTATAGTATACTCATGTCTCTCTATGTAAGTTATGTGGTAAACTCAATCACAACCCTACCCAACCCCCTTTGTCTAGGGGCAAGTTCGAATTAATTATTTTCCACTTTCTTTCTTGCTTACATTCTCGCAGTGATGCTATTACGACAACGGGTTTGGCAGCGAGGCTGACGGACGGATTAGATCGGACTTATTGATTTCCCCCACCCCCCTGCCACCCAAGTCACTCACCCTTGCTGAATATGAATTTGAGTTTTAGTGTTTATGTTATTTGATTGTTTATGTACATACCTGCTGTAACGGGTTAGAGATGGGCAGATGGAATAGACAGCTACGCCATCGTTTTACTTTACACATTCCACGGGAAAGTAAAGTAGGACTTGTGTAACCAAGCCACACGATCCGATCGATCGGAGGCGCCGACATACTTACTAGGTTACTTACCTTCCAAACTAGTTGGTTAGGTTAAGTATGGCATGTATGTATGTATGCGCTTAGGCAGAGTTTCTGGTCGTCTTCACCTAAAGAGGATGTTTCATGACTCGCGTTTCTCAAATCATTAAGGGGGGGCCGGGGGGGAGGCAAAAGGGCAGGGATGTGTGTTTGTGTTTGTGTTGTGTCTATTTTTGCTTTGTTTCGAAGTTCGACGGGTTGTTCTAGGGGGAGGGTGATCGTGTGTGGGATTGATTGCCTGATGGATATTTACATAGTATGATGGAGATAGGAGAATCATAATAGATGTGTTAAGGTAGGGGCGGGTTTCAGGTATTTCTTAGATAGTATCTATCTACTGTATGTGCCTGTGTGTCTATTCGTTTGTCCAGTTTCCCCTGACTCAATTGGTCTACATCAGAGGGATATTATGCATGATGTATCGGTATATGTAGATGTTGATAGATGGGGAAGGAGGATAAGGATGACAACCGAATAGCACGACCTGTCCTGTCCTGTCTGTCTCCAGATCATATGCACAAGGCTAACTAGCCCCCATCCATCCATCCATCCATCCCTGCTGGTATCATCCTCCACGGTTCCCTGTATGTAGGAATGTCTGACTCCGGTTTCTCCACCGCAGGATGGGGTCAATTCAGACTAGGAGATATTGGCTGCATGAGGAGCCACCGATAGTACGGAGGATAGTTGACCAACCAAGTTGTCAGAGTCGAGGGGGCGCACGATCCAGCCTCGAGACGCGAAAAAGAGGAGAATTGATGCGAGAGTGGCTGCTAGCTAGTACCCATTAGGATATCAATTCAAGAGGATTCTGTACTACGACAGATCGTCGCGAGGGAACGAAGAAGGAAGGAAGACGAACCGGGATCCTGGGTTCGCGTGACCCCTACTGTAAGCCATCAAGTTGAAGGAAGAAAAGAAAGAAAAAAGTCTATAGTGCCATTGAGAAAATCCCTGTCTTTTTCCTGCTTGACTCTGTGATCGCTTTGTTCTCCGCGATTATCGATCACTGACCAAGCGTGGATGCCATGTGTGTGGTGATGAGAAGAGATAATGATTATTTTACTATTGTATGATCCGGTTCCAATAACTACGCTGCTCATAATAGAGTGTCATAGCCTCAGCTAGGGTCTTTTTCCAACATCCACTGAATAGTCTACTCACTTATGTAGGTAGAAGACGAGCTAACCGAACCCAAAAATCTTTCTTCACTAGTGCCATCATCCATGAAGATACAGACTCAGACTCAGGTCGGGGTAGTTAGTGAGGCTGGCTAGCTGACATCACGACCAGCCTGTTTGACGGCTAACCCAACTAACCAACGATGATAAACCCCGAAGGCGAGGAGAAAAGGTCCCCGATCCCGAGCCACGCAACCATTCCATCCCCGTTCCCCATCCCTCCGCTAGCTAAACTAGTGGGGATTACCTGTTGAAGCCGCTTGCTTTTGCATCGAAGGATTGGAATGCTGGTTATTGTCATACATACGCCATCCTTGCTGCCCTTGGAGGAGGAGGGGAGGAGGAGGGAGGTGCTCATACTGGCTCGACGGTCGTTACTATCCCTGCACGCGGGTTGTAAACCGCACCTTTGCAGCAAGGCATGCGGATTTGGAATTCTCCGTTGGAGGCTGCATGTGATGCCACCGGGTTCTTGTCCCACACGATGCTATCCATCTAGTGGCCGAGGGATAAAAGTACGGTTTGGGCGTGGTGGATAGATGGTGCTGGATAGGTCAGAAGTGGCGAATGAATGGAGTTGGATGCCTGGGAGAGGGGGTGATGTCTTGTGATCAGTTAATGATGCTTATGCATGATTCAGTATTATGTAGTCACTGCTTGAGGTGAGTGTAGGCGTTAGTATAGTCAATGAAGGACATGAATGATATTGATATTGACTTCTATAAGGTGAATTATGGCTTCACAGTGATAGAAAGAGGTTCGTATTGATTTGTAGCTATCTGCTGCTTCCAGTGCTTTGTCTCCTCT